TTTTTTGGTGTTGAAAATTTTTGGTGTTAATTTCGTTTGAAAGAAACTTTGTCGCTGAACTTCATGGTGCTTGAATTTTTGGACTTGCTTGTACTCAGTAAGCATTCTTTATGACAACGTAATTTATCTGTCGAAAGTTTCCAAATTATTTTTAGCTGTGTGTTTGTCAAGAAGCTAAACCCAGGGAGAGAAGTAATTAAACAAGAATCGTTGAAAATTATGTTAAGTTTTCCTGTAAGCCTTTATGTTTTACGAGAGAGATGCCTCATTTGATCATGGAGAAAACTGACTAGTTGAGAAAAATGATTTTATTCGTCTCCTAAACTTCGACCTCATCCATTGAAGATGTACCATATTTAAATCGAAGGTGCTCAAGTAGGTTTGTTCTTTGTATATTTTCCCTGTGAATCTTGCACTTTTTCGAAAGGGATCCAGGTATTCTTAATTTAGGAAACAAATTTTTAATCAAGTTACCAGTGACAAAAAAAAGAAAATTGAAGTATATTCCCTTTTTCCCCTCCTCAAAACTATGTTTGTTACTCACAATTAATTCTGAGGAGAATTTCTGTCAATGTCCAAAACAGTCTTATATCACTTATGTGTTGCAATGTCTGAGAATGTAAATTTCATAAAATTTTCTTGGACTCAACAATTTTATGCAGAGGGGAAAAAAACCATTTTCTATGAAGTTTATGCTTTGACGTAGTTAGAAATGAATTGATGATACAGTGCACCCATTCAGTAATACTTGCTCTGGCAAATGACTTTTTTAAACCTGGTTGTCATATATATTACAAAGCACAGTTACCCAAAATATAAAGTAAATTCCTAAGATGTACTGCTTCAAAAATGTTTTATCGCATTTTCTTATGTATTTCTGATCATATGTAAACTCTAGGTCTTATAGAGGAATGGAGGGGGAAAATTCATCATATTTCTTTAACTCAATCAAAAGATTAGCTTGCAGTATAAAAGCAAGCCAGAAAAGGTTAAATCCATAGTTGCAATTCTAAATTTTCAATGATGGAATTCTTTAGATACTTTAAACCACTCCAATGAACGATTTTGAACTGTCAGGTAGGAGTATTTCGCAACATTTGATGGTGATTATTATTCTGAAGTACAATTTTTGTCTTTGGTTCATTGGCAATGTGTATGCAAGCCGCACTAAAATTTGATGACATTTAGCAGAGAGAAACTGACATGTTTATGGTGTTTTCAAAATTGAGCAACTTCCTCTTGGCATCTAAAAGTAAGGAATGTATGTATGGTAATATGATTTACACTAGCGCTTCCCTTTAAAATTAACAATTTTCCGGTAAAAAAGCAAAAGCCATTTCCTAATCTTGGCTTTGTTTTAGTTAAAGTTGAAGATGCGCAATTTTGAACACTTCGTAATTGAGCTGGTTTCCTCCGTTTAAAACAATCTAATCGAGACCATCAAATGTTGGAAAAACCTCACAATTTGTTCTCAAATTTTAGAATAGGTTCATGCTGGATCCCCAGAAAAAGCTTTCAAGTTGGTGTTTTACCTTGTAAATGTTTGTTTTGTATCATATGAATTTTTTTTTGTTGATTCACTGATTCACCTTGATGCACAATCAAGTGTACGTACTGTAAATATGTTCATTCATAGATGCATACCCTGTCAGGTTACTTGCTCTATTTAACATTTTTACATTTGTTACCGTTTACCTTTAACATTGTGTAATTTGGGGGGCCTAAGGGAGATACTAAATAAAATTTAATAATAAATTCAAGAGAAGTTTTATCTTTTTCAGGTAATTAGAATTTAAATGGTTCTTTGCCAAAAATCACACATATTTTAAAATTTCCTCGCTATTTTTTTTATTATTCTATTTAATTTTCTGTCCTTGCGGAAGCCTGGAGCAATCAGGTATTTTTTTTTATCGGTGAATGTAACCTTATGAAGTGAGCCAATATGATAGAGTTTCTACGAGTCGAAAAAGCTAGGAATTATTCGGCTTTTGAAATTCCATGACTTTTTCCTTGAAAGACATTTTTTTAAAAGACTGGAAATTTGAAAAATCTTGATACTTGAAATCTTGGAAAACATCAGCGTTTTCCACACAATCAAGAATTACAAAATCCAAAAGTCTGGCTCAGGGTTCCGTGTTCTGATTATCACTCTGAACAGTGAATCTAGAGGAATACTTTTCAACAAGGAATCGCAATTTTTAATCAGTCAAACAACGAATACCTGAATAAAGAAGGTTCTCATATTTGTGTCCTTTGCAGTGAAATTAATTCCAAAAATTTTTCATTACCAGCTCTACGTGTGCAAATTGTTGTAAAAAGTCAAGGAATTTTGATCATTTATGTTAGGGGAAACCTGGTCAGGAAAATTTTTCCTGTTGAAGCTGTAGATACCCTGTTTGATTAAGTTGAGATAAAACTTGAGTTAAATCTATTTTATAGGATGAGAGAGTATTTTGGTTAGAGCTATCCTCCTTGGTATAAAGCATTATAAGTTTTAAATGTAATAGCAGGTAATCAAGCGTTCTTGTTTGAATGCGATGAGTGAAGAAAAGCAAATGGACTTTCATAATGATGCGTTCATAATGATGACGTTTTCAAGTGCAGTCAATGGCAGTCTTCACTCTGAAACATAGTGCTTCCAAAACTTGACACTGCTCAGCTGACCAAAAAAAATTCATCCTCAAGAGATGGAACAAATTTTATAGAAATTGATGAAGACGTACATTCGGTTGTTTCTCCCTGCACAATCTTGAATGCTCAGAATGTGTAAGCTATTGAAGCTTTGAAAACTACATTCTCCCAATGCAATATGTTTGTTCTGAAATGCCTTTCAGCATAATTGACCCAGTCAAGGAAAACCGGGAAATGTTAGAGAATTTCAAGTCAGGGAAATTGATGAAAGTGTCAGGAAAAAACTGTTTATTCACCTTATTTGTTTTCTTAAATGGGTATTTCTCAAATCAAATTTCGCGTGAAGGGCAAATTTTCAGTGAAAATTGTGTATTTTTTCAAATCAGTATGTATTTAAATTTTTTCCAAAGTGTTTACTCAAGCCAAACAGGATAAAATTGTGAGTTTCTCTAACTTTATGCATGTTTCCTCAGAGTACTTTATGTTATGCACGTAATTAAATCTTTTGTCAATAAGTTTGGTTCCAAATGGATCGAATTTAGCAGAAAAAGAACATCGAAATCATAGTTTTGTCAAAATCGTTCAATGTTCCCTTTGCTTTTTAAAAAAATTGAATGCATGTTCTTTTGATGAAATTTATTGAATAGTTATCTTTTTAAATTGACTATATTTTGGCCGGAAAACCAAAAGAATCTGAGCTTATACGTATGTTGGAGATGAATATTAAGTTGCGCAATTTTCAAAATACTGGTTCTCCTCTGCTAAATGCGATCAAAATAACATCAGCTAAGAGGAATTTGTATTTTATTCAACCTCTGCCTTGTGTGTTCTTAAGTTATAAATGTTTCAATGTTCCCCTCGATATTATCATTTTCAATCTGCTGTATAATTTATTTTTTAAGATTTTTAGTTGTATCATTATTTTTGCATCATTATGATTTATTTCAGATTTGATTTATTTTTATATGATTGTCGTTTTGTTGTTTTTACATTATGGACAGTCTGGCCGTAAATAAAGCGGATCAGTATTGCCACTAGTAAACTTGGATTCTCCGGCCAACAAAGTTTCCCTGTCCCTTTTCTGTGAAGATGGGTGCCAGCTTTTGTTTCCCGACAGAATTTAATTGCATTAACCCTTTCTTTACCAGGCTGAATTCTGCGTGCGCATGCCCCACAATGGAGAATTGTTGTTCTGCAAACAAAGTGGAGCGCACTCTATTGAGATGTGTCCAAAGGTGTAGTTCAGATTCTCTTTGACAGAGCTACAATTGTGAATACTTCTAGGTAGCGGTTGTTGAGTAATAGTGGAATCATTATGGGAAGGATACGGTTGAACATGAAAGGTTACGGTTACAATGAAAGGGTCAATACCAATTAAAAGGAAAATTTTCTTAAGAGACACTATCAATGAAAGCCTAATGTGACTTTACAGGATATTTTTTATTTAATAATTATGTATTTACATTTGATCATTATATCCAGTCAAATGGAACACATTTTGTTAAAAAGTTTGTTTGACGGACAGGAGTCAGTATAAAAATGTCCGATAAATTTGCACTTTAATTAAGTAAAAGAACAGGAAACTTACGCTTAAACTCATTTAACATTTAAATGCTTACAATTTTAGTCACGTTTAAGGCCGTCAATAAAATTTAACAAGCTCGTGAGTGAAGTTTTAAACATCCAGATCCTATTTTAATCTTGAATTCAACGTTTGTTGAAAGAAGGTCAAAGAAACTTTAGTTAGCTGGACGAACAACCTAGGTTTGCGTGTTTAAGAGTTCGTCGGTAACAATTATTTGTAAATAATATAGAGTAGGGAATATTATGAATGCTTCTACAATTTATTTTGGGTCATGCTGTTTCAACATTTTTTTTGGATCTCATATGTTTATTTTTCCTCTTTCACTCTCTGTTAGCATGTTTTCTTAAAATTTCAGGATTCACAGTTGTTCACCCTTTGTTCTTTTAATTCCTTTTTGATAGCCTCCAGTAATTATGATTGAATAGAATGAAAAATGTTCTTCCTTACCTTACAACTTTAGTGAGTCATTGATTATCTTTTAATTTTTGTTTTTTATTTTTGTTGTTTGTCTCTAACGGTTTTATTGAGTGCTTGCCTTTGTTTTTGTGTGACCTTTCCTCCTTTCTGGTCCATTTTGTTTTCAGCTTTTCTCTTAATGTTTTAATTTGCACTAATTTTTGCCTTCATCAATTAATATCTGCAGTTTTTTTTTCTCGGTTTTGGAATGGACATGTTCATATGTATTGGTATTCTTATTGCTGGGAAGCTTTGTTTTTTTAATAAAAAATTGCCTAAAAATCTATGTTCAATCTTTTGACCATACTTTTTTCTTTGTTTTCTGCAGATAAAAAAGAAATCTGTGTCGTCAATCCAACAATTTTAACGAAGAGTATCGGAGCGACAACTAATGGAACAATTAAAGAAAATAATAATGTCATCATCAATGTGGTGAATGGTAGTCATAAACAAAATGGCACCGCTATTTCGAATCAAAGGTGAGTAATTCGCCTAACGAAATAATTTATATCAATTAAAAATGATAAAAATTGCCCATTTTTCCTATCCAAACCCTTTTTATTTCAATTCTGAAACAACTTAAAGAAGGTTGTCCATCAAGTATGGGACTACTTTGAATTAATCAAAATGATTAATTTCAAAATTAACAAGACACTCTACCAGAAAGTTCTGTATTGTGTAAAAACAAATATTGGTGAACACTTTTTGCATTTGATCTGCACAAGCAAATTTTGTAACGTTTAAGCATTTGGAAATCGTTCAAGACATATTGAGCATTCTTTAAATATTATTTTATATAAAGCGCACTGATATCAGTTTAGTGACCCAATTTGATTAAAGTATGCTTTAGTATTTTGTCAGGCAGGTAGTGTTACTTCACTAAAACACAGTCCACAAAATACTGACTTTTCACCCATAAGCTGAATTTGTAAATTCAAATGTAACTATTAACCACCAGACAAGCTCAGAACTAGCAGGGTACGTCACTTGTTTTTTCTTTAAATTATTACGCAGAAAATTATTTGCATAATGGAAAGCTTGGAAATCAACTCCTAACTGAGATATTAACAAGTATTTTTAACACAAATCGAATGGAATTTTGATTAAATAAAAGATGTCGGTTGTATTTTTGTCATTTAACAAATTTTAATTGTAAAGGCTCATGTCTGTTCTAGGAGTTGATTATCATACCTCCCACTGTGTGATTAGTTTTCTTCTTGAAATTTTGAAGAGAAAGCGTGTAGCAAAGTGCTTTAATTTATACCTCGTCTAGAGGCCCCTTGTGTTCTGTGTCAAATATTGTTTTGGTAACATTCAATTTGATGCTGAATTCCTAAATCAGCTTTGTTGTCATTTTCTCGCATCCATTTATAGGGTGTCACTTACACATTTAATACCGTTGACTCTTTTGTTACTCGTTGCTCTCAAGTAATTTTTTATTGTGCCATGATTGTTACAGTTCCCTCACTGATTTGTCCCGAGCGGCAGATAGTCCTGTAAAAAGTGTAAAAAAAGATGTTAGCAAAGTTTGTACAGTAGAAGTTGAAGTTATTGATGGAAAGAAAAAAGTAAGTACCTTTTGAGAACTCATTTATTCCTTTGAATTGATATATTTATTTTAATTCTTAACATTAATGCAGAAGGAATGTCTGAATCGTTTTTTGTTTCAAGCTAGTTTGCCACCAGTGAGCTATTTTGCTTTTTAGCAGAAAAATTATATATATTGCCAGTGATGCAGAAAAGGTGGAAAAAGTTTTACCTTTATTCCAAAATGCCAATGATCATTTCGCGCCTAATGTATATAATTTTTCTGCTAATTACTTATAAGTGATGTAAAATGGAATCAATCATTCTGCTTTTTATTCCTTCTTTTTTTCTTTTTTTTTCTTTCTTGTTCTATCATGGCAAACTAAGTGCTGAGAGTCACTAAGTCACTCCTCATGTAATGCAATGTTACAATCACAACAACTAATGCATGATGCGTGTTAGTGGTACGCAGAAAATGTACAGCTCTCCAAATTGGTCTACACTAATTTAATTTAGAGGACTGTACGGGGCCAATCTAGAAGAAAACTATGATCGTCTGCTTCCAAGTCAATCCCATTGAAATAAAACTAAATGAACTCATAATGTCTAAAATGGTAGAAATAGAGAAAAGAGGTATTACCAGTTTGCTATTTTTTTCCTCACTATCTTATGCACTTATTTCAATTCAAAGCTCCTTGTATATGATTAGCATTTGAGACTTTACTTTTACATCAATGCCTCAATGTTTTATTTCTTTTTTTTTTCCAGCGTTTATCTGATCAGGCCTACTTTATCACCAAAGAACTGTTGTCTACAGAAAGAACATTCCGTAAAGACCTCAAAGTGATTACTTTTGTAAGTATCGAAACAGTGTCACCTAAAATTTTAAAGGAATCTCAAAAACCTGATGCTCAATATGCAATCAGCAGAAAATGTCACTGATATTTGTCAAAAGGGCAATGTCAGAAAACTAGGGATACTATGGTATCCAATTATGAGTTCTTAGTCCCATTCTTATTCTCTAATTCTACTCTAACGAAAATAATTTTATCTCTTTTTCTGTAGCCTTCCTATCTTTTAGACTACATTTTTCAATTTGGAACCACAATTTCTAGCCCATCCATAAAAACGCTCATATGCATAGGGAAAATAACAGTACATACGTTGTTTCTAAACTGAGCCAGATATTGTTGTCCCAAATTAAAAAATACAGCCCCTTTTGATGTATTTAAAGAAACATTGCTAGAACAAGTCTTACCGCGCCTGAAAATAAAATGTATATGTAAGTGAAAAGAATCCATTGATTCTGTTTACTGTCAAATTTTCATTAAATTTTTAGTCAAACAAGGTCAGATTACAGCCAAACATTTGCATGGCTAGGGAAAAGGAGTTTTGAAACTGTGCCCTTTTCATCATATACAGGGTTTGAAAGTCCCGCACCACCCTTGTAATCCCTAAGGTTCTTGCCTATTTTCAGGGTTGCCTCTATAAAATTTTGGGGATGCTCAAAAGTCATTTCCTCTGACCTAGGAGCACGCTCATACAATTTCAAGTCTACTTCTATTCGTTCAAAAGTCGCACTGGTGATGCTGAGTGCTGACAGCGCAGGACTTTTGGATCACCCTGTATAGTGTGTAGAGAATGAAGCAAAGCTCTGAAATGCTAAAAATTTGTTGTTTTATTGGTGTGTAAGAACTTAATTTTTGAATGAATAAAATTCTGATTTTTGCATTGCAGTGGTTCAAAGATGAACTGATAAAGGAGCAGGGATCCTTGCAGCTGGGTTTCATCGACCAGTTGATGAGTGTGTTGGAGCGGATACAGAGCCAGCAGACGACGTTCATCAAAGACCTCGAGATGAAGACGCAACTCTGGGATGACTGCACCCAGTATTCGCTGGCTGATATCCTCATCAAACATTTCGATAACCTACAGGTGAGCCTCTGATCCTAATAGTGCCCTGAAAACATTTTTTATTTGTACCAGATGGAAAGAAACATAAGTCCAAAGGAAAGTTTCTCTCGGATGCGGCATTGGAACGTGGGGCTGCAGATCACTAAGCGTGCACTACAGCGGCGACTAGGAAACCACTCAACAAACCAACATGAAACAAATAAATGGGGGCGGGTTCCACCAGGTCGTAATTGGGGAGAAGCTACGACCAGCTCCGTGATCTCTTTGGGGGGGTAGTAAGGGGGAGAAACTGAAATTGGGCTTACCCAGCACGGCACGGCAATAGAGGTTGCTTAATCCAAAGGAACACAAGTTCGAAACAAACAGTCACTTTTATCGCGATTTATTAGAGAAGATAAGATTTAAACAGGGAACACTCTACAGACAAAACACTCAGGAACACACACACAGCAGACTCTCAGACACTACAAATCAACAGAATTTTAAAAGAAAACGAAATCAACAAGAAGGGGGGTTTGAAAGGTAGTCGCGGCGCGGCGGGAATGGGCTCCTGGCCTTGCTCGGGAACTAGCGAATAGAATTTTGGTGATATCGAAAGCGAGTAGCACTTGCGCTGACGGGGGTGGGATTACGATCCTGACCGTAACCGTGGACGAAGAGCGACTGGCGATCTTGATTTTTCCAGAGTTTTCCTGGGCCTAAACCGAGGCTGAAACAAGTCCGTTCCCACGGTTTAGGCAGGGCCAAAAACTCGGACTCAGCATGCATGGCCCTGTCTGTGCATCTCTGAGCGCATCTTCGTTCAAGGAGACGACCACCGTTGTCACATTGCTCCGGGCGCAGCCTGGTGGCCGGCTAAAAGAGATAGGTAGTTGGAAAAGCGCTGGGAGCAATATGACAGTCCTCGCTTCCGGCCGCTGATGTCATATTGGCCGGGGCCCGTCAGTGCATGTGCAAACTCGCCTCTTTTCCGCTGAACACGGTCTGCTCCTCTCCGGAGACAAATCCATGTAATCCAGAATCTGCGAGGCTTCCCACGGTATTTTGTCTCGAAGAAAAGCACACCGGATTCAGCGTCCAAGTTCGAAATCCGCTCGTCCCCGGCCAAGGCCAGGGACCCCTTCGAGGCACCCAGGGAGATTGAATATTGGGGGGTCGGTTATTTTGGGGTTGAGGGCTCGCTAGCGCTTGCCCTCATTGCAGCATGTATAAATTTTTTTTAGAAAATTGTCTGTTCCATCTTAAACTTTCCTTTCAGCAGGAACAAAAGCTTTTACTTGATCGCTATTTTGTTTTTCATCCATCGGATCCTCAAGTAGTGGAGTTAGATTCTCCATTTGGGTTCTGTTTGCTTAAGTAAATAAGTGTATTCGTATATATCAGAGTATAGTATTCTATTTGATTTTTGACTCATTGTCAGGTATATTTTTCTACAAGAGGAGGGAAGATAACCTGGGAGCAGCACCTACCCAATTTCTCTAAAACTGTTTGTCGTTAAGAGGGGAGTTAAAAAGAGTGCATTTTGAAGTGATATACTTGGTAGATTATACAACCAATGTAATGAAAGGTCTTTAAGATTGGGGAGATGAGAAACACTTTTATTACAAAAATAATTGTAGCGCACCACTTTTTACCTTCTCAAAGTTTTCATCTTTCTCTCAGAATTTTCAGATTTTATTTCTGTGTAAATAAATTAAATGGAAATCATTTTAGCTGACAGTCCTCAGTCATCCGTAACACTCTTGAATATTTTTGTTTTTCTCATATATTTCTGGGTTATATTTTCAGGTTTTCGATGAATACATCGACCAGCATTTATCATTTTTAGAAAATTTAGATGATGCCTTTCATTCAATACCAAAATTTGAGCAAATATACAAAGATTTTGAGACGCAGAAAGTCTGCTACTTGCCCCTCACAGCCTTTGTATTGAAGCCATTGCAGAGGTTAATACATTATTATCAACTAATAGAAAGTAAGTATGCCACCTGGGTTTGTCATTTAGTTTGATTTTTATTTTTGATAAACTTTACGCTGCTCCTTATCAGATCTTTACCCTAATGTGTTGAGATGACAAATTTTTCCAGATAAACGCAATCAAAAAGCCTTGCAAACTGTCAACCATGACGAAAAAAAACTTTCAATCATTCTTGAAAAGTCTTGTGGATTCAGAATGCAGCTACATATTTATATTGTGTTTTCCAACATAAATTCCACATTTTATATTTCCAACATGTAATGAGTCAGTGACACCCATTTTTTAAATTCACTGGGACTTGTTTGAAATGATATTTTTGTCAAGGGAACCGTTTGCTGATTCGCCGATCTCAGCCTTAGGCATCGCCTTGCTATGTCTACTTGACTGTCTGCTTTTGATGGGTTGGATTTTTATCAGCCTTTTTGCTTTTAAAATTATGATTCAACTCAATAAAACTCCCTGGCACTGCTTCATTTTATCACTATGGCCGACAAAAGTTTTGTTGCCATCTTATGAGAGAATAGTGTAGGGAAACATCTAAAATACTTCTTTTGACATTATATTTGCATGTCCTTCTGAGATTGGCATCAAATTCTCACGATTAGATCGTAACTTCTAGACATCCCTTCTTTCCATTATCTGTCTCTCTCACTCTCCGTCTCTTTCTTTACTTAGACTTTTTAGGGTTATTCAATAAATTGACTACAAGCGCTCATTGAGTGTCAATGAATCATCAATTCTGCATCAATTTTTTAACTACCACTTACTATCGATTCCTCTTTTTTTTTCAGAGTTACTTTGGTATTACAAATCTATCAGGCATCCAGATTTCGAAGACTGTTTACTTCTCAGGCAAACCCTATGTCAAATTACTGAAAAATTACCTTATGTTCTGCGTCAGTCTGTGAGTAATAGTAATTTCATTTGTTTATTTTGATAAATTTCTGGAAGTAAATAAAATACCCAGCTCATACAAAGAAAGTGTAATTATTTAAGGAGCTTGTGGGTAACTTGCAAGCAACTACTTTAACCCATAACTACATACCTATTCAGTTACATGCACAAGTTTTCCAGACAGTCATATATTTCTACTGTGTCGCCATGTGTCAATTTCTGTTCTACAAGAAAATTCTTCACTTGAATATTGAGGACTGAACATGTTCAGTCTTTTTCAGGCATTTCCTCATCATTTTACTAGTATGCTTTTATTCATTTACAATACTCTCCCTTTGTAGCGGATCTCAAGTTGCTGGAAGACTCATCCAGCACAGAGAGAGATCTGGTGGACAGAGAGGAAAATATGTACATTTAGCATAAAAAAGGACAAGTTTATTTACATGCTACAGACAGCTTTCTGTCACAGTGGGAGCTACTTACAAGAGCATTGCGTTATAAATGCCAGGAAAAATTTAGAATTTTAATCTTTGAATTTTCTTGAATTTCCAATTGAGAAAGGAGCATAGTCCTCTGATTGAATAAAAAAGTTGTATTGAATATGTATGAAATCGTAATCGTTTTAAAAACTCCCTTATTGATTTCATCTCTTCTTACAGGAAAATTTCGTGGAGCTGTGCGAATTAGAAAGGGATATGATAGGTGTAGAACGTTTAAGGCAGTCGGATCGAATATTTATCAGACATGGCTCGCTGCTTAAATATTCGTTGCGTAAAAGTTTCCAGCCAAGAATGTTCTTCCTCGTAAGTATCGTTTGGTTCTCTGAATGTTTAATTCTTTAAAAAAAGAAGGGTGAAAAAGCATCAGGGCTGTTTTAAACTTCTAAAGGTTTGAACTAGACTGCTTGTCAGAGTTTAGTCGAAGTTTATGATTCTAGTTCAGAAACCCTGAATCTTTACTCAAATTTTTCTTTAATCAATTCTATCAGTTTGATGAAAGCTTTCACTATAATTACCAACTTATCAAACGAGCAAACTGTATCAGTTGCTCTTATACAATTCTTGAACAGAATTCATTCAAATGAGGAGCCTTTACTGACAGTAAAGAAGTTCGTTTCAAGGTTCAAATTTAGTGAAGATCCACAATTCAAGGTTTGTTTTGCCGTGAAAAGCATTGACTGTGGAAAATATTTTATTCTGTACTCTTAAATAGGTATATTAACCGATATCTGATCTGAATCTATCGCGGATATAATAAACTAGGGGGCTACGCCCCCTGGCCGCTACGCAGCCCAACCCCCTGAAGGCGCTCCGCGCCATCAATGGGCCGCTTCGCGGCCCTGTTTTTACCCTCCTATCAGTGTTAATTTTATTTTTCCCCTAAAAAATGACGATATGAGGTATACTTTAATTTTAAACTTTACTTAAAATTACTTTAAAATTAAAATAACGCGTTTTGGAATGACTGCTTGATGAAATATTGCAGTAAAACAATGAATAATAATAGTCAGATAATAATTAAGATTTCAGGGGTCGGGGATCGAACCCAGACCGAGTTCCAGGTGGACGCAATCGACGTCTTTGACGACACGGCTACCGCTCCACGTGAGAACATTGGAGCGAATCTTGTGTAGATAAGTGTAGAGCTGATGCGCAGGCTACCCATCTACTGCGCAACTTCCTCGACCACTGCGCATCCTCCCGCGCATAGCGGTAGCAGTACCGGAGCATTCTGTGAACTCACTCACTTTTATAACGTGATTTTAAAAAAACCTGGGTCCTTTTTCCAAAATCTGATTACAGCGGGCTCATCTAGGGCCTATTACCTGTCGATTTACGCAAGAATCGTGGAAATCGGCCCGGTAGAACGCTCTAACGAACTATGACAAAAAGTATAAATTTACATTGTTTAAATGGGAGAATTCGCAACTTTACCACGTAATATAAAAAAACCTGGGCCATATTTTGAAAATCTGAAAAGAGTTGGCTTATCTAGAGACAATTGCCCGTCGATAGCCGCACAAATCATGAAAATCGGCCCGGTAGAACGCTGGAACTAAGCGTTACCAGTTTCGGAAAATTAGGAGGTCTTGGAGCTTATAGTATAGATAATAGCTGCCACCATCAAATAATGAATGCAATTAGCCTCACTAAATTTGGAAGAAAATATTTGTATCTTTTTTTGCTGTATTAAAAATTTATCGCTACAGATATTTTTTCCTTAGTACAGCTTGTCATTACTGTTTAGTAATGACTTCCTTTTCAAGACATTATATCTATTTTATTAAATCCTCTTTTCCTTCTGTTTTTTGCAGTTCTCTGATGTGCTGTTGTACACAGCACGAGTAGGTCATATGTTTAAATTGCATGGGCAGCTTCCTCTCAAAAACCTAATAATTGAAGAGCGCGACGATACACCTTCCCAGTATTCATTCCTGATTTATGGCGCAAATCGAGCTTTGACGGTTGCTGCAAACAGCCAAGAAGAAAAGGACAAGTGGCTTGAAGACCTCAGTGAGGCCATTCAAGCGAGCAAAAACCGAGAAAATGAAAATGATAATGATAAGAAGTGTTACCTGAGCCTTAAATCTTGTGGTAAGTTCTGCAATAACTTGAAATAACCACCAGTTCGTCCAAATTTTCCTAGAGATCGTATCCTACTTTCTAGAGGTAGAGAAAAAGTTCCTTCAAAAGATATGTTAACTTTAAGATCACATGTCTCTCTGGAGAAGATTCAATTGATGTACAAAAGTACTATACCAAAAAAAGATCTGTAGCCTGTATTAACCCATTGACTTAAACTGACGGCTCCCAGCCGCCCGTGATGCTCTGGGCCAGATCTGAAGAGACAGCCCAGAGCTGTCCCTCGATTGTTAGCGTTATTTCGGCGATTCTTCGGTAGATTGCATTCTCATTAATTAATAGGTTACCGACTTACGCGAACCGTCACTTTTCCTGCTGCGCTTTTTCAAACTTCGCGCCCTAAATTGGACAAACGCAAACGTGCGTGTAGAGTGACTTATAGGAGTGTTTTGGAGAGCCATTTGATCGAAGAAAATGGTACTAAATAGTAAAATTTCATGATATGCACTTGAAATTGCGTGTTGAAAGTGTCAGGGCATCATGAAGTCATTGGGTTAATCGTTTGTTGGGGTGCCGCATGGTGATTCGCCACGGCCGCCCGCTATGCCGGGTCGTTGCACTGAAAACGCAACGTAACAATACTCGCTAAAATCCTCAAAAAACTCTGCGGAAGATTCCTGGGGGGAGTGGGGAAGGGCAATGCAAGATGGTAGGGGGAGAGGGGCTGGTACCAACTAGACCTGTCAACTCATCGATGCGTGAAATCGCTTAATTATGCATGCGTGTTTTCACACGCGCGATAAGATAAACTTGCGGTATCAGATAACCTACTCTCCTCTGTTCTCATCTTTCGTGTTGTTATCGAGTGCTTTTGATTCCTTATCTCTCGCACTGCGCTGCGCTCTCTCGGAGATTCGCTCACCCTTCGTGGCGTAACTTGACCCGACCCGCACGTAAACACTACCTACGCTTGATCACGGGTGACGATCGAAGAAAAACAGGTCGAGATGGAAAAATTTCACCGTGTTAAGCGGTTTCAGAATCTGACCAAACCGAGCTATCCAGACTTATTTAGCATCGTGTTATATGGGTGATAAACGGGACCGGGCGATTCTACCGACTACAGCGGGTTACCGGCTTATCCGGGAACCGAGTTATTGAGGTTTCACTGTATTAACAATGGACGTCAAGACTCTCAGGTTTTTTAGACTTGCCCACTTCTGTTTGTCCCAATTCATTTGCAAGTTATCAGGAGTAATAATTTCCTTTTTTTTTGTACAGGTTCCTCTGATGAAGTTCTGGACAAATGCGGGTCAGAAGTGGAAGTTAACGCTAAATCAACTCCTACAAGTCAACGGAGCAACACAACGGTCCACGTTTGCTGGCATAGAAGCACATCAGTCTGCATAGATGATCTCCTTAGGGCAGCTGAGAATCAGCTGAGTGGCTACCTTTTGCGCAAGTTCAAGAATAATGATGGTTGGCAGAAACTTTGGGTTGTTTTCACAAATTTCTGTCTTTTCTTCTATAAAACTTATCAGGTACTTGAATTTGCTTCGAAAGAACTTCTCATTATATAGTCACTGCAATGATCACAATAATTGAGGACATGGTGTAATTCCTGTCTTATTATTTTTAAACCACACTTTATGCTTTTTGGAAGTAACTTTTTCCGAAAGGAATGGTAAAAATTAAAAAGGTTAACAACCAACATCCTTTTTGAACTAGTCTAAATTTTAGAGCAAAACTCAAAAGCTTCACCAAATTGTGGGTGCAAATAGCTCACTTTCAGATTAAAGATTTTGCAGTTTTCTGAAATTGACCTTATAAAAAAAGCTGTAGTTGATTGAGCAAAGATAAACGCATAAAATCACAACTTGTCCCCTCTTAAGTTAATTCAATCTTAAACACAAGAAAGAAGTTTCTTGTAACATTGATGATTCCTCATATCGAGGTCTCGCAGACTTTTTTATTTATTTATTTATACTCTGGAGCCTAATAAATTTTATGCACTACTATTTTATTTCTTCATAGGAAGAAATGGGTGAAAACTGTTAGTGCAAACAAAATGTGGCAATTTCAAAATTCAATGTGAAACAAAAATTTCTTTAAAGCTAAACTATTAACAGAAGTAATATTTTGGGCAAATTTAATTTTTCAATTTCAAGCCAACTAGTTTTTTTAAAAAAATCAAAAAATCATCATTGATTACTCTTTTTTGAGCAGTTTTTTCTGATGCCTCAATATGTTTTGATATTGCAGGATGATTGTCCATTAGCAAGTCTTCCATTATTGGGATACAGTATCACTGAGCCTTCTGAAAAGGATGGAATCCGGAAGGACTACGTTTTTAAACTTCAGTTCAAGAACCATGAATACTTCTTCCGAGCCGAGAGCGAATATACTTTTGGACGGTAAGACAAAATCTCTATTTTTCATATTGAAATCAATCTATTTTCTTTGAAATTTGGCGTGAAGAGGATGCTTGTGTGCAGCATGACATTGAATTTTAAGCTCATTACTGACCATCTCTCAAAAATATATCCTATTTTCTGATGTATGACTCGTAACTCCTTCGATTCGAGGGTGTGATTCATTTTCATATGAGCCTTGGAAAGTATTTACTCATATGGATAACAGGGCTCATCTCATAGAGTGGAATCAGGTATATTATTTCAAGACTCCAGCAATGTGATCAGGCAAGGCAAAAGTTAAGTTTGGAGGTTAACGCAACCTTTTGCCTTTCTCTTGGCCCATCTATACTACAGGTGTTTACAAAACTGCTTGCATCTTATTTCTCAAAATACAAGGCAGTCTTTTCTCCTGAAAGCTTTTGATTTTCCAACCCAACCTGTTTAAAATCTGCTAAAATGGACAGTCTTAAGTGCGCAATTTGGTCAACAATATTTGGTGCACACATTCTGTAAAAAATCAAAATAGTAAGCTATTGCAATTTTCTATTTAAACAAGGTAATTTTCTGATCTTTCAGAGCATTTTAATCCAAAAATATGAAAAATTTGACTATATCCTTGGAGTCCTTATTCCTATAAGCGATTTATTTAGTAGATTCCTCACCCCGAAAATACTCCGTGGTGATCTCCTAGTAATTTTTAACTTGTCCGTTTCAGGTGGATGGAGGTAATAGGAAGCGCAGCTCAGCATTCGGAACGAACACAGCTATACCCTTGCAAAGATAGTATCGTCGATGGCCTGCGGCTGCCTTCCTAATGGTCCATGTAAATTGAATTTCATATGTTGCACTACTAATATATTTTTCTTGTTATGATTTTTTTTTTATCTTTTAATCTGCAATTTTGTTATCATACTTGATAGTATTTAATTATTTTCTAAAGAATTTTAGATGAAGAGGATTTTGTTATTTTCTTAGTCAAATTGTATTTTAGCAACTTAACTGGTGAATGACACTGTGCTGTATATTTTATGTTTTTTATCTTGACGAGTGTTTTTGAGCACCTTTGAAGAAGAACACGCTTCTAAAATCTCATTTTATCCTCTGCGAGAATCTGAAACAAAGCTGGCTGAAAACTCTTCCCATTTATGAATCTTTCTGAATGTCATGATTCAAATTTTATTACTTCTTGAAAGTTGTTCTGTGTGTCCAAATGGGCCATTAGGCAAGGAATGAGTCAAAGCACCCGTTACATGTTCCTCTAAAAAATTTCGCGAGAAAAACGAATCACACAGTGTGAAGTCTGGGAATCAACTGCTGAACAATATGTGTTATAGGTGTTACAATAACAAAAACACAATATATAAGTGTTTTTAATTAACATTGATTGAATGGCAAAAATGCGAATGACTTCATTCGTATGATTTGTTTTCCATTTCATCTGTGTTAAATATGTTCATCAATATCTGGTTCACGAGATGATTTCCGAACTCCCCGTTCTTTGAATCGTTGTCCACTTGAAATTTAGAAGAGGAAACATGTGATATTTTCTTCTAGTTTACACCTTGTCTAGTCGCCTATTCAACATTTATGATGTACATGCTCTCTGCTCAGGAAGATTTGTCTACATAATCGTACAAGAGAATAAAAAAAATTTGAATGCATAATTAATATCTCTAATTTTAAACAAGTAGGAAAATCAAATGGCTATTTCTTCAACGCTCCAGTTGAGATTGTTGCATAATATTTTTTTAATTGAATGCACAGAGGTAGTAGTAGCTTGAGTTTCAGAAATTTTCAAAATTCTTTGAATTATGGAACTCTGTAAAAGCTGTACTGATGTGTGTGCATTGTGAAATGGGATGTCCACAAGGGCCTTACAATTGGGCAGTGTGAAGCGTCACAAACCATGCGGAGATACCATACCAAAATGTAGCCCCTTAGCGAACTCTCTATGAAGTCTCTTTATTATTTTTCTCCAACTCTTATTCCTCGAATCTTTTGCCAGTGATTTCTTCCCAACCTATGAACTGTAAATCACTTATGCAGTCTTATTCAGGATTATATTGTTGGAGAAATCTACGCCTCCACTCTAAACCTACAATAACACACACAATTATATTGATATAACTATTGTAATAATGGCTGAAGTGTAAAATAATTTAAAAATAAAAATTATCCCAGAAATTTCCCAAAATATTTACTTCTGTGGGAGCCTCAAAATTTGCCTTTTTACCAACGATGATCGGTAATCACCAAAGTGAATTTTACAGAGGTGGGAAATTTTCCCCTTGAGAAGAACCCCTTGTGAAATGCATTAAACTTTTGGACATCCTGACTAAGCCTAAGTTTTATCTTAAACTGAATCTTTCATGATACAGAAACACCTCAATTTATTGGATTTCACAGGACTGACTAATCGATCCATCAATTTGCGGAATCTGTTACTTCGAATTAGCTCGAGGCCCTTGAAGGAAGATCCACTTGTTAAATTATGATCTGACGAATTGAGGTCTTGCTGTATTTATTTTATTTATTCGTTTTTTTTTTCTTTTTTTTTTTCCTCGTGCCTTGGCTTTGTTGAGGACTATTGCGGATCATTTGTGAAAATAAAAAAATAGTTAAGACAAAGAAAGAATTAAAGTGTTCATTTGTAGGGGGCATTTACTTTAAGAAGTCCCAGTGTGTTAAGTCAAATTATGTTTAAGAATTTTTGTGCCTTTTATGTATGTTGACGTACAGTCAATTATTTTATGGGTTCCATTCCTCTTTTGTTTCTTCACTAAGCTCATACGGATAGCTAGTCACAGAGAAGATTGCCGCTGTGCCCTACATAAAGCTTTTTCATGTACCTTACTGAAAGAAAATTCTTAGGGGAGTTGGCTCCACATTATTCTGCAGGGATAGCAAGGCCAGATAGTTCAACTATTTTGAGCTCTAATGAGTGTTAGTACAAGACTGAGGGGGGAGAGTGTTCAGCTTGATTGGCTCACGCTAAGAGATCTATAGCGTCTTGGATCTTTTTAGACCTCAACAGCATATGTATCCTTCTTGTCAGTGAGTTTAGCTTAGCATCCTGCAAAATTCAAGATAGTATCGAAACACTGTCATGAATATGATGAGGCATGACACAAAAGTGCGATCCCTGCGCCATCTGCCATTGCTGCTGAACACTTCTCAGGACTAAAAAAGGAAAACCCAAGAAAAAATAATGATTATCAATTGAAAGTAAGTCTTAATTTAAAATTGATTGGTGGCATTCTAATACTATTGAAGCAGTCTACAACTCTTTATCCTGTTGTAATAGAAGCATTAAAAATGTTTACCTGGACTAGATTGTTGTGTTTGTACAAGTCGCCTGCAAAATTGTTTTCCCTTTCTTTCTTCCTTTTTTATCATGTATAATAATTAAATATTGAAATTCTGACTCCGGCAACTGCTCTGTAAACTGGTAATGACTTATGTGAAGTCAAAAGCGCTCTGGAAGCAAGAATTAGTCATGTATCAAATAGATATTAATTTATTTTCGTTACATTGAACGTATTTTTATACTTTTAAACTGTATAGTGATTAATTTACTTTTATTATTCCCTGTAGTATCTAACTATTTAATGATCAATTTTTTTTTAGCCAAAATTTTGTTTTAATCATGGAAAACTCCTTCATGTTTGAGTATTCACAGTTTGTGAAAGGTTTTATGCAATTTCTTAGAAAATGAAAAGAAAAAGCTCTAAATTTTGGGCACCTCTGTACCTGTTGTATTTGAGAAAATTTGCATTGCATTTTCACTGATAGCCCTCCCCTCCCCTCCTCTGAATATTCTTTATCCAGCTTCACAGTAATAATGTACCCATCTTTCATCAAGTTTACTTTCTATTCTGAAGAAATTCCTGATTACTTGATTAATTGAATTATTAATCTTAATGATACTGTTATACCATTGAGACACTCTCATAAGGTAAACAGTTTTAATCAAAGAGTATTATATTTTAACAAATCTTGTATTTACCTATTTTTGATCTGAAGAGCGTTAAAATGATGGAGATAGGTGGTGTCCAGTAACTACACCTATAGTCAAGAGACAAAAAACTGGAAATCGTACTAATTGCAAAAAGCATAATACTTCTGGAAGTATCAAGTGTTACACATTCTTGATTTACTTAAAATTAGTTCTCCAGAGAAGAGTTCAAAAATTAGAAGCAATATCAAATGTCTGGTACGAGGCACTGAGTTCCGTTAACTATAAATTGAACTGCGGAAAAATGGTTAGGATGTAGTTTTTCCCTCCAACAATAAGCAGTAAATCTGATGTCATGTTTTTAGTTCTTATCCGTAAAAATCATGTTAAACTTGCTTAAAGCATGGAAACCCTTCTACCTCTTAATGTCGTATTTTGTTTTACACTTCCAAAATCATTCTTTCGACTGTTTCCAATCTGTTGTTGTATTTTTGAAAGGTGGTAAATTTTTCATTGCTCTTCTTACGCTATATCAACAGTATCACTGCGGAACCATGTATCTCAGTTTGCAACAATGTAGATATCTTGTCATACTTTTTTTTTTAAATGGAGAACTGGTCAACGTCAATTCTTAAAACACTTATATTTTTTCTTCTCTATGCAAAACAAATTATAATTATTTTGACTTGTTCTCCTTTAAAAAGATAAAATAGGAAAGAAGACTTTTAAACATAGCAAACAAAATACGTCATTTAGGAGTTTCACCGTCCTTTTGTATTATTTGCATATCTTACACCCTTGGCAAAATGTCTACATATTTTACCACAAAGAAAATAAATTGTGAATTCCGTTTGTTGTCTTCATAAGAAAAATGTACTAATAATAGGTATTTCTAGCATGCCTGGTTTCCTTACTTTAAACTGTATTCTTGATGATAATAAAGAAAAAGACATGAGTAAGGAGTCACTTTAATTTTTTACCTTCTTAGTTAATGTTCCTGTTTTGTAAACGGAAGGGACTCGACCAATTTTAATGTGCTGAATCTAACTTCGTAGTCTTATTATAGTTCTATGAGGATATATACATGTTAACATGCTTACTTTGAAACTTAAAAAGTTAACGTATCATTGCTATCATGGCAGGGGAGGGGAAGATGGGGGAATGACAAGAGGTCTTCGAATTTTTCTCAAAAATTGTTCTTTTGTAATATTCAATTTTAGGGTGATTTGTAAATCTGAATCTGTCTGGTTGCAATTGTCCGATTTTTTTATTTTATTTTTAAAATTTTGGCAAACTCGCTAAGTAATATCAAAATATCCAATGGTTTAAAAGTGAAAAAAAAAATGTTACTATTCAATGTACCTAATCATCTCATCACTAATAATAATTTGTTATACTGCTGATGGAACAAAATAAAACATTTCCTTCTCTTGCCCAAGTTTTTTTGAAAAATCAACTTTGTGCCTTTTCATGCCTTTAGAGCTTACCTAAAATATTATGCATTCCACTCTAATCTTGGTACTTTAGGATGAAATACTAGGAAAGAAAATATATATAAGCATTTAAAATTGCGTTTTAGGCCTATCCTCCAACTATTCTCAAGTTTCGAAGGAAACATTAATCCATAGCATCTAACACAACTTTTCTGAATATTTCATCCTAGGCCTTGTCTCCACGGGACGTTTTCATGGGATTTGTCCCAAGTTCGAATCGCAGGAATGAAACTTCTGGGATTTTTCCCAGTTACCGTCTCCACGGGACGGGGCTCATACAGTCCTGCGACTAGTTTTCGCGGGAAGATAAATTGGTTAAAGTCAAGTATTTAACCGGGATTAAAATAATAATTGCACTCAATTGACAATTAGACACATTATTTTAACTAAACAAACATGAACAATGTAGTATAATGAATAAAATATCGCAGAATTCGTTTTCACTTCTTCTTCTTCTCTCAGTGGGTCCTAGGGGTACAAGTACCATACTTGGTACTGGGAGAAATATTGATTAACTCAATATTTTTCCCAACTTTGTAAGTGGGATTTTTCCCTGGGACAAATCTCGTGAAACGGCTCGTGGAGACAAGGCCCTAGAGAGAGATTTTCCTTCTGCGTGGCAGCATTGCCAAGTTAAGACCTTGAAATTCTATAGCTCGCTCAAAAACTGAGGCATCAAGTTGTGATTTGCACACATTTTTTTAAAAAAATTATTCTCCATTTATGTGCTGAATTTGAAGAAGCTTGGTAAATTTGTAAATCTGCATGGTTGCCATTTTTACGATTTTTTAATTTCTAAAGGCAAATAGCATGGTTGTAATTTGGTTTCAGGAAAAAATGTGTTTTAAGGATTTTTTGGTACGATTCCATGCCTACTGATCCCCATGTGGACGTATTTCTGCCAAACCGAACTAAGCGCTAATTTCAGTTTCTTTTAAGGATTTTAGAATCCTGGATAGTGCATTCCGTCAGATGGAACTAAAGGCCATGGAAAAGCATTGTGAGCGTAGGAAGGAATGAGGTCAAGGTCGAACTGCACCGGCCAATCCAACCCGCATTCCCTTTCTTCCTCCTATGCCACTCAGTTCCGTTTAGCAGAAATTCGTCCATATAGGGATCCTCCATGGGACAAAACAGGACTTAAATTGAATAGAGCCATGTGATTGGTCAGTTATGTTGTTTGAATGACTGTTGGTTAAATTCTTCATAAGGCTGGATAATAATTGGCTGTCGAAGTGCCTTTAATGAGTCAATTATCAAGTCAAATGGTACGGATTTATGCTTTGAGGAGCCATGTTGCAAACTTTCTGCACATAGTTTCTTTTACCACAAATACGTCAAATTGAGAGTCGAAACAACATATCAAGGTCATCTGAATAACATGTTCCACCTTGCTCTTGTCCTTTCCAAAAGGCCAACAAAAAAACAAGGACAAAGATTACCTTAGACATTTTCAATTTCATTTCTTTTAAATCAGATAAAAATGAAAAAGAAAAAAACAAGTCTTGAGAGCAAAAGTTGCTTTAATACTAATGAATTCTTTTCCTCTTTTTTTGCATATAAAAAGTTTAAGAATTATATAGAGAATTCACAAAGCAAGAGTATAAAATTCGAACTCAAATGAAAGATAAAGTTTTGAAAATGACTAGAATTTGTAGGAATGACACTTAATCCAGTCATCAGGATCATTTCAGGGCTTATTGCTGAACAGATTGAATCGCAAAAAAAGTAAACACTGAGCACATCAGAAAATTAGGTGGATACTTGAAAACTAACGTTTTCTCAGATTTAATGTAACAAGAAGCTAGGGTGCCTCAGAGTAAAATAAATATTTAAAATTGGTGTGATTTTTAAGGAGAGCAAAATAAATTTATTTCCATAGTATGTTTCTTCTCAAATGTTTATGGTGTCCTCTTAACTTCTCAATGTTATGCTATGCTTTCCTAATCTTTGAAATATTAGACTCCGTTTTGCATTCTGAGATGAAATTTCTGACCATTGATCGGTAAAACGATGACTAAGCAAAACTTGGTTCTCTTTGCGAGGAGGCATTTTGACAAACCAGTTCTGTCTCCGTTGTAAATTTTTTAGATAAACTAGAAATTAAATAATTAAAGGTAACAAACACACTTTTACAGAAGAAGAGATACAGCAGAGTTTGGGTCCGTTCGAGTTGAGCAATTGGAGGTATCTGCACGATTCTGACAGCAATGACTTCAATAATTATTACCAAAGATGTAATGTGAAAATGTGAAAAATTATTATTTCTTGATTTTTCAAAGAAGCATAGAAGATCAAAGCGATCCAAGCACAGTTAAGTCTCAAAAACATATTCCATAAAATTCTTTGATTCAATGCTTAAAAAAGTGTTAAAAAAGGACATAAGACTGTACACATATTAACTATTTAGACAATGAGAGTAATAAAAGATATAAGTTAAAAAAGTAAGAGCGATAAAAATGTTTGATTCAGTACGATACCACATACATGCAGGTAGATAGAACTTGCGGTAGATAAGTTGGCAGTTGTTTACTATCTGTTTGCAAGCGACTGCGTTGCAATCGTCCAATAGCCATCAAGAATTGACTACAGGCAACGACGCTGCTGCACACAGAAGTGCAAGTCGATCTACCGCACAAGACAGTCAAAAGTAAAATGCCAACTTATCTGCCGCGAGTTTTAGCCGGCATATTGAGATTAACCTGCAGATGCTCAAGTTTCAAGAGTGCATTTTCTAGTGTAGACTTTTTGCAAAAATCTTCTCTGAGAAGAATAATTTTCATGTTTTGATTGAGAATGACAAAAGATTACTTAAAACTAAAATGGTATTAACGCTTAAAATTTACATCACAAAAGATACCACAGAACAGATAAAAAGGCACAGAGAACAGATATGCCTTGGTAACAAGGTTTGGTTACTTGAGTATTACCTTCTTGTATAAATAATGGGAGGACAAGTAAATGCTGGAAAGACATTGAAATTGTGCGGCCTTATGATTTTGCTCGGCGATTTTCACTGCTATGAGATCGCCATTACAGGAATCAAGTTGAACAATTCTTCCAATACGTTTAATAAACCACGATTTGTTTGTCCAACAAATTGCTCTGCATGTTGTCAGAAACCAGAAGAAAGAAAATCTCGGCACTGAGTGATAGTACTTATTTCGAATAAAAGATTCAGAGATTTGATTTGAACGATTCTAAGAATTCTCTTTCTTCAAAAGTGGCTACGAAAAAAACTGCATCTAATAGGACTCAGGAGACAAACCAATTAAAAGGTCTAGCACATCATAATCTAAAATAAAGTAAAGGCCGCACTTAAAATTCGCTTGGCTCCGGACCAAGAGCTTCTATTACTTGAGGCGTGAAAATACAAGTTAGAGGACATTTTGAAAGACTTTCTTTCACCTTAAAATAGTAATGACTTTTTTTAGGTATACTTAATTTAAAATTGTCAGTCGCTTTTAATGAACTGAAGGAAATAGAGAGGACAATAGCTTTGAGCTAAAGTGTTAAATCTTCTAGGAGTGCTTCACCTTTTATTAGAAGTTCTGAGAATGGTCGAACTTTTCTTGACACACCAATACCAAACCTGTATGAGTGAGATCAACCTTTTTCCTTAACAGGCGCGGGATTTTTAGAAGGTGGTGAAAGATGAGTTCTATCCTCATGATTACCTACATAGTTAATTGGGCACTTTTAAAGGCTGAAGAACTTCTAGAAAATTTCCCTTATCAATATTGAATAAAAGGTTTTTCATTATTTCACTTAAAATATGTAAAAAAAATGACAATTCGTAAAATAGACAAAAATAAACAAAGGAGAATACAAGTTCTCGATCATTCTCAACAGTGATGTCAGAAAAGACGGAAATTGTTATGACAGATGTTTCCTCGTAAGTTGATCATGTATGGTGCATAAAAGCAAAGATATGACGACTTTCCTGACAACACCTCTATTTATGTACCCTTAATAGAAACGTTATAAAATTAAGTGAAAATTGTTTAAAATTTGTTCTCTCAGAAATTAAAACATAAAATACGAGAACAAATGACCTAAAATACATTGCTTCAAAGCTTAATTATTCGTATGAGAAAAGGTAAACAAACATGATTTCCATTGACAGAAAAACCCTAAAAAAAGTAAGTCTCTGTTAGAAATTTGTAGGACTAAAAACAGCACAAGTTATCAATAAGGCGTATTTAGATTACATCGAAATTCATGGATAAAATTAAAATAAAATTGAATGGATTGACAAGAATTTGCCTTGATTTAAGTACAATATTGAGCTCAACATACAAGCTGAATGATAAGTGATGTTAGCAACTAGAGGGGGTATGTAGAGATAAAAACTTGCTATCCTGGATGTTTCAGACATTTTTTAGATTTAGCCTTCCTTCAGAGAGAAGATACACAATCTAAAGTTTGTCATTTTTTGTGGCAAATACACATTACATAAAAGCCCCGATAGCCAATTACTTCGCAAGTAAAAATTTCAGGACGTTAGTTGTAATATTTTGCAGCCAGGAGCAGTAATTTTTTTCAGGTATTGACCGCGTATCTTTGGACCGCGTTAAACAGAGAGGAACCAAGCCACATCAGCTATTGCCAAATTTAACAGGGAAATTTTATTTTTTACGAGAGAACGTTCGTGCGGATTCCTTTGAAAATTTTAGGGAATTTGCTTTGTATTACGGAGAAAATTCCCTGCACATAAATCCGCACAACCGTTTTCATGTAAAAAATTTGATAGCCCGATTAAATTTGGCAATGGCTGATGTGGCTTGGCTCCTTTCTGTTTAACGCGGTCCATTTTTGCTTTCTGGACTTCCAAATCCTTGTATTATAAATTTGAAAAAATTTAGATTGTATCATTTTTCTAAGGAAGATAATTGACAGATGCTTTTGATAAAAATGGATCAATCTTCTTTAAACAAATATAAAAACACCATAAACTGACCTGATCGATATGAAATTTGACTCGATAAATTTGACTGACTTCAGTTCCGAAGACACCAAAATATGGTAATAAAAATTTATACAAACAACAAATGCATAGATAAATTAAAAGATTCAACAAAAAACAAACTGTACAACATATTTACACGACTGCATTTTTCAAATGATTAAAGAGTATCACGATATCAAATTAGCTTTGGGGTTTGTCTCGACAACAAGGTCTGCGTATTCTGTTTCTATAGAGCTTGAGTCTTCTAGATGGGCTGATGTCCAACTGGTCTCGGCTCGGCTAATCGTGATTTCATTTGGAGTAACGATTCTCACTTCACCTTCACGACTCTAGAACAATTTTAAAAAAAGTATGAAAAATTAAAAGTTGAAAATTCATGAGGTTAAATGCTTTGGGGCCCGTTTAGATTAGAAGAAGATTTAGATTAGTTCAGATTAGTTTGTACTGGTACTCAGTAGAGTTGAAAAGATTTAGTTTTGACTCTGATTATAATTTTTGGAACTTCATTGGCTTTGATTTCCCTGCGAAATGGTGTAGACCCAGCACCATTTCTTCACCTTGTTACATACAGTATTCGGGCCACTTCTTGGTGTGTTTTTTTCTCATTTGTACGCCCAATTTGAGGATATGTGTTTTCCTGTTCGGGAGCGGGCGGTTGAGTTTAGATGCGTTGGCATCTCCACGTGGCCTGATAATCATTTTTTCGGGTTTTCCTTGTTTTGTTATGAGACTTGTTCAGCAGCGACGGTGGATGGCACAAGGATCACACTTTTGTGTCATGCCTCGGGTCATATCCATGACGGCGTTTTAATGCCGTCTTGGATTTTGCGGCATGTTAAGTTGGGTTCACTGACGAGTGTGATCTGCTGATGAGGTCTAAAAGACCCAAACCGGTACAGATCTTTCGCCGTGACTCCAACTTAATATTCCGATGCAAACTGCCTGAGCTGAACATTCTTCCCCCCTCAGTTTAGTACTGATACTCATTAGAGTTGAAGAGATTTAGTTTTGACTCTAATGTAATTTTAGGAACTTCTTGGCTTTGATCTCCCCGCAAAATGGTGCGAACCCAGCACCATTTCTCCACATTGTTACATACAGTATTCGGGCCACTTCTTAGTGTTTTTTTCTCATTAGATTAGAAGATTAACCTCTGGTTAGCGAAACTTTCATTTGCTTTTTTTTTTTCGTTTTGGAAGATGTTCATCTAATATACTTGTTTTCAAAACATCAAGAACATTTTTGAACTCATTGGAACTAAATAAAATGAAACATTTAACCAGAGATTAGAAGGTAACTTATATTCAAGAAGGCTTGCCTGTTAAAATTTTAACCGGAGATTGGAGAATCAACCAGCCCTTGAAGTCACATACACATGATAGCAAAATCAAATAATGATAAAGAAATTGAAAGGAAAAAATCTGAGAAAACCCAATTTCAATCGATTGTAGAATAAAATAAGTTCTATCATAAATTTCTGATTTTGTTTCCTCGGATGACATTGCTTTCGATGAAAGAATAATCTGAGGACTTACCTCTTGCAGAGGGTTTTCGAAATGATGGTCCTTCGATGACAAGTGAGCCATATGGTTGCCACTGGCTAAACCGGTCATCCCATTAGCCTGGAATTTTGACTGTAGGTTGAAGGCTGGATTTTTAAAATGAATTCTGGAAAAAACCATGAACATTATACGTTGTGCAAAGAAAGCCAAAGGACATTTGCAATGCTTTTCCTTACACAGGATACAGATATTTATTTTCTTGGAAAATAATAGCTCTGTAGGAAATTACCTTCAAGGACTCCAATTTTCATTTTTTAGAGCTCTCTCAAATTTGAGGAGTGGCCAAAAACAATATTTCAGAAACACCAGAGATAGATGGCGAACAACATTGAGGAAAGGAAAGTTGACTGAAGAAAAGATTCTTTCAATCATCTAAAAATACCTCCCTATTATCTCATACAGAAACAACAATTGAAAACTATTAAAAAAATATCGAGAGAGAGAGAGTGATTTCTCATAACAGATACTACTAGTAGAAGTCAGAAAAGTTATTTGTTGTGTAGAATTATTAATAGCATGACCACCAACAATTCTATGAACTTCAATAGTTTCAATTTATGATGGAAATCATTCCATATCCTTGGTAAGTTATAAACTAGGAGTTGATTTTTTGGTTCCAGCTTGACCAAATTTACCCAAAAAGAAAGATTGTATACTGATTTTAAAGTTACGATTTAGGTAAGTGTCCATCATTTAATCTGAAGACCACCTGTTTTAGCACCCTTTTTTCTAGAACTAGCCAAATTTGTTTTTACTCACGATGGAAATAGACGTCGCATGTTGTACTTGGAGTTATAGTAGTAGAATAAGGCATAGAAAGTTGTTCCGATGAAAGCGACTAAGATGATTGTTGCACAGATTGATGACCAAGAATATCCAGGACTTTGACCATCAACAGTTCCAGTTGTTTCCAAAAAGTGGGTTTCTGGCATATACTTTAAACAAAACAAAAGACTGTAATTAGAACCGCTACAACTTAATAATACTATTGAGAGAATTGGCATGTCACAACAATGATGTTGAGTTATTAGTTGAATGAAAGTTAGCACTTACAAGAGCCAATTTTGTGTTTTGAAATTAAGAAGAGGACAATTTTTGCTTCACACCGTAAAATTTTAAATACTTCTATAAAATTCATTTGCAAACAATGAGCAAAGAAGCATTTTCTACAAGTGACTTCCTTGATTGAGTAACTTTCTGATCTTTTTTTGCAGCTTCCTTTTATTACAATGAAAAATTTGTGCCGGAGTTTTTCATTGTTCCCTACAAAGGTGCTTGATGTGCTGAGTTTACAATATTTTTTATGATTTTTTTTCTAATATGAGAAATTGGAGGTAAATATATTTAAAAGTGAGAAAGTTTAGTGCCTTGTGACTTCATGATGAAGCATTTCAAATGTTGACAAATATATTTCAACGAATGAAATCATTCTGTAAAATCCACTCTAATAATATTTCAATTTAGAAACCAATGCTATTTTTCTGCTCAGTTCACTGAGTAGTTTCCATTGATAAATTAAATTCAACAAGCTTCTGTCAAGTTCATAAAATTCTCCTTGGTTCATTTCACTAAATTGACATTTTATATCGCACACTTACATTGCTATCCGTACAGGCTGTTTTTGGAGGAACTATCTTTCCATTGCGACAAATGCATGATGGTAATGTCGAGCTGAGAACGCACATGTGACTGCACTCCATGTTCCTACAAGCGTTTGATACTGAAAATAAAGAGGTATAAATTACATATTTTCATCATAAAATTAAAAAAAAAATTGAGAGAAAAAATAAAAGTGCACAGATCCCTAAAAACCATTTTTCCACAATAAAAACGGAATTATGATTTTTTCAGCTTTCGGACCTTTTCAAAACAAAGGATTTGCATTTTTTTTGGAGAGTTTTTCATTCAAAATAGAGGGTACTTGAATATATGTTGGGAAATTGATCTGCCTCAAAAAGGATGATTTTCAAAATACTTACTGTTTCTTTGCAGAGCTGGTTGCATGAGAGTGAAGTGAGTTATTGGATCTACAACTTTGATTGGGATTTGATTGCACGAGTACGATTCCGTGGAAAGTCCTTGAAGAGCACACTTTGTAATCGGGGATCCACTCGACTCAACCGACCAGTAGATAGAACCATCAAAGAGCGCAACAGATTTTGGATGGAACTGCAAGAGACAAAAAAAAATTTTGGTAAAACATTCCTCCCTTTAATAACTCCAATACAGCGCGGCTCCCCTCCCCACCCTCCCACTAACAAAAACTGTAAATGGTCACCATTACGGAACACATTGGCCAATTTAACCGAAATTTGATAAGAAACCAGTCTTGATGAACCTCTATCATTAAAATTTCAGCTCAAAATATTCATTATCACTTGAGTTATCGCATGGACAAAATTAAAGCTCCCCTCTTTTTGGCCCCTCGCGGTAATGAATGTATTCTAATTTTTTCTTTACACTTTAAATGTACTCTTAGGCACTAAAAGCACTTCAAAGTGTGAGAGGTTTGTCAGAAAATGAACGATACCTTTGATGTCAAGATGACACGTCGGCGAGTTCCATCATAGTTAGCTCTTTCAATGACCTTCAATGTTTTGTCGACCCAATAGACATGATTGAGGATTGGATCTAAAGCAAGATCCAATGCGTAGCTCACATTAGCTGAAACAATGGTCTCAATATTTTTTCCATTCATGTCTGCGCGTCTGATGGAGCTCTTAGGCATATTCCAGACTATGCGGCTTGTTTCACTCCAGAAAAGGACACTAAAATTAAAAATAATATTTGTATTACTCATAAAACATAGAGAATGCCCTAAGAATATGTGATGCCTTCGGTGAAAGATTTTCTCTCTCACAGTCACTCAAACTTTGGCTCATTGAACTTACAATTAGATTTAGGAGAGCGTAAAAATCATTTTCAATCATGCTCTTAAAATGTTAGTATAAAATAGACACAAAAGATACAAGCAAAACCTCCGAATGAGAAAATTAATTTTTCCAATTCTTGATCTAATGAATGAAAACTGAAAAATATTTCATTAAATAGAAAAGAATCAAAGAGCCTGAACTCGATGAAATAACGTACCCTCTGACAGGATCAACGGCAAGACTGTTGATCTCCAAGCCACTTTCAGCGGTCAAAATTTGTGCGCAGCGTTCAAGGTGGAAGTTACAGACATTAATGATGTTCCTTGCTTGGACAAAGTAGAGGTTGTGTGTTATCCAATCGACTGCCAGCTCTGATGGACGGCGTAAACCAGTGATGAAATGTTTTGGCTCGTGTCTGTGCGTTAATGACATTTTTGTGATGACACCCTTGTTTTCTGTCATAATGAAAAATAATTTCAGTGATCAAAATATTTTTACTATTTATCATAATCAGCATCAAAGAAGAATATGATATTTATGACAAGTCTGTTCAATGGAGTACATTTTATTTTTTAATATGATGCACCTTTAGACGTAAAGCTATCCAATTGCAGTGCAAGAACCTCACGAATCAATTTTTTACTTCCGTATAATTTATGACGTCTTCATTTTATAATTGTTTTCTTTAAGGGATTCCTGACGATTCAACTTAAAGCTTTTTTGCCTCACATCAACTTACGTTCCCACTGCATTACCTGTAAATTTTTTTAGCAGGAGGCAATGTAAATAAAAGTGCATACTGCAATTTAAATGATTGATCCTAAATATTTATTTCCATAAAAATACAGAACGAGTCAGCGAGTCATCTTTCTTATTATTGAAACAACAAAGCTAAGTTTTTATCGCTCGCTGGAGGTGACCGGAAAAAAGTAAAACCAAGAATTTGTTATAAATAAAACCTACCAGATGACCAGTAGACATGCTCTGTTCTCATGTTCACATCAAATCCTGAAACTTCAAGATCTGCACTATAGTATGCCACTTTGACATCGGTCATTAGGTATGATATAGTGCGAATCTGGTAACCGGTAGCAAAGACGTACTGCAATTTTGGGCCTAGAAAAACAAACAAAAAAAAGTTAAAAAACTAAATATCAAGAGATCCTTTCAACTATAATTCTTAATTGAAGTGAAACTATCCTCTTCTTGACCATTGATTTATGAGAAGCCGAAATCAGGCTTGATTTCAACCAATGCGTGTAATGTCTGTCTATAATGGAAACGGGGCTGAATTCTTAGGAGAAATGAAATTTTTAAGCGTTGAAACGGCAAAAAAAAGGTACAGGAACCATATCAATGTCTAGCAATGATATGAATCATTGATCTGCCTGATACAATATTTTTCCCTACCTTTTAGAGTTTTATCCATCATAGCAGACTGTCTTGTTCACAATGGGTGTTCCAGTATCCAGTAATTAAGTTTTCCAGAACATACTTAGGTAGATTTACAGGTGAGGATCTTTATAAAATTCAATTCAACGATGAATTTGTGGTTTGTCAACTTAACAGTTAATGTCTCCTGATTTTCTTTTTTTTTTAAAAAAAAAAAAAAAAAAAAAAAAAAAAAAAAAAAAAATTGCATCCAAGGATTTTGCTGTACGCTCACAATCTTCAGAGGTAGCCAATAATGAAGGAGAAAATATTAGATTAAAATTACACAAATTAAACAGATTTGCAGTCAACAAAATATCAGCCAGAAAGACGGCATCCCTCTTTCAATATGAATAAAAATATTAATGAGATTGGGCCAAAGACATTGAATCAAGTAGACCATGCATCCTGTGTTAAAGAAGGCGCGACAACTTTTAAAAATTTGCATGCCGATGAGTGTTAGCACCGACCTGTCTCAATTGTGCACATCTGCGCATGCGCAGTAGCGGCCCTGGTGAATCTTTGTCAAACTGAGGCTTTTTTCTCGGTTTGTAACTGGTTCAGAAAAGAGGAACTTTGCAATTCGGTTGTAAAATTACACGCTCTCCAACTTTTATTCTTAGAAATTTTGTCTGAAAATGGACTCAAAACGAGTTATTAGTGAAAAACCGAGAGCGCGAATGGATTCTCCATAGCTTCTCTGCAGTCTCTTTGAGTGCTTGGGACACACGCTCTCACCTCCTCCCCTCACGCCCATCATGGTGATCCGAGAAACTTGTCTTGCTTCGCCTGTACAAAACCTAGCCGGATGCACGGACTACGCTATTCAATGTCTTTGGATTGGGCCTGCTGATAAGAGAGCAGTGAACAAGCATAAACGTAGGAATAATTCATACCAGTGGCTTTGCAGGACCCATCTGACTTTTTAATATAATCTGGACCAAGACAGGCACAGGTGTAACTTCCATAGGTGTTGAAACACATCTGGCTACACGGCTCCAATTCGGTGCACTCATCAATATCCTCGCAATCGCGGCCATCCTCAGCAATTTTAAAGCCAGGGACACACGCACACTCATGTCCATTTGGCTTATCACGACAAATCTGACTGCAATTTGCTGTCACATCACAGCTTGAACCTGCAAATGAATAAAAAAAAAATATTTAGTAAAATGCTTAAATTTAAGATAGCAAAGATAGGACAGAAAGTAATTAAGCTAATTTTTAACTAAAATCTATCATGAAAAAGGTGTTGAATAACCTAAAGGCTTCGCATGGCATAAAAACCTGAAAGCATAAAGCATAAAAGTTATTGATTATCTTTGCCACGTTGCTATATCTTTTGAAAAATTCATTGAAACAGAATTGACTGAACCTACTCATTTATGTAAAGTTTGTTCATACACCTTTAGAATCGTGAGTTGAATTTTAAGCTGTTTTATTTCTTAGCATGGGAAACTTCTTAAACACTTAAACAGGACTGGCAAAAATCTATTTGCTGCTGTTTTGAGAGAAATTTTTTCATCAGTCAGTTACTTTTGTATATTTAATATATTCGACCATTAGAATAAATGGGCGATACATAACTTCAACCGTCAATAACTTCTAATAAACATACCGCATCGTCCACCTTCATCTGAGCCGTCCTTACAGTCTTGCTTTTTGTTGCAGACTAGACTGAAATCATCAAGGCATTCACCGTTCTTGCAAACAAATCCATGGCACACATTGGCTGGAAAAGGAAACAAGAAAAATGAAAGAAATAAAAGAGCAATGGATGAAGAATGAGGGTCGGTCTAAAATCTAAATCTTAAATGAGAGGTATAACCTTTAAGTTTAAGCCGTTTAATACATCACCAAGAATCATCATTAAAATTGTACTACTTGTTTTCTGTAGATGTCCGAATCACTTCTAACTGGAGGTAGTTACGCACAGAGAACTCTTACTGGTAACTAACCGAGTTTTTAAAACTGGCAAAAAAGAGTGATAAAGAATATATACTTACGAATATGAGCAGGCACAATAGCTGGGTTTTCTTTGCTGTCTGGGCACGAGTTGAGAGGTCTTTCATCGGATGAGTCACCACAGTCATCATCATCATTGCATACAAGATCATAAGTGATGCATTTCCCATTATTGCAAGTGAATTGTTCACAGCCTATGCAGTTTAGCTCATCAGCTCCGTTCTCGCAATCTTTAACACCATTACACCTGAGGGACACAAACGATTAAAAAATAGGAATGCTACAGATTATTCATGTCTATTAAAACCTTTGATTTTACAATCTGACGGTAAAAATAAAAAAGGAGGACTTTCTAGTGATTTTTGAGCAATTTTAGACTTTCTTTTTCTGTAACTTACTACCTAATTCAACACTAAGAGCAATGGTGGACATGGTTTTCCTCCAAACCACTTTCAAGGTTCTTTCCACAATTTTTTTATTTTATTTTTTTTTTTATAATACAAAACAATAATTCAAATTTGGACAAGGAAATTTGATAGTTCTCAACGTAAATTTCCCTTCAGATCTACAAAAATAAAATTCTCTTCAAAAAAGAGTAAGGTAACTTCTCCCAAAACTTTCACTCGATTTACAGCAACTTAGATGCTGGGATAATATTAATTACAACTCTCCAAAGCTTAGAAAAATCAGTCTACACACTAACAAGAAAATGACAAGAAAGGAACCTTACTTGAATATAAGATTAATGCATTTGCCAGGCTCGCACATGAACTCCTTCTCTTCATCACAGTTATCTATAAAACCATCCTCTTTGTTTGCCGTTTTTGGAACCGGCTCATCGCAATTGAATTCGTCACTTCCATCGTCACATTCGGTTTGACCGTTACAGACAAGTTCCTGTGCTACACACATGCCACTCTGACACAAGAATTCGGTGCACTTTTCTTTTCTTGAGAAACCTGACAAATTATGATGTAACATTAATTTTCGCACTGTTAAAAATGTGAGGACTTAACATTTTCATCTTGCTAGGGGTTAAAAGAAAAGCGCTAATATTCCCTGCAGCTATGATCATGTTTTTCCCTTTAAAATTCTAAAAACAGTTATGTAAAAGCATTGAAAAAATAATGTGGATATGAAATTGATGATAATTAAACTTAACGACTTGAGAATAATTTAAAACGAGCTAGGCGTTGGAATAATTTAAATATCCTTCATAATCCGTCAAAATGTTATGAAACAGAAATTAAGACAAAGTCCTTGTGTGAGCTGTAAAAGGCTAGCAGCTTCGGCTGGCAGTACAGTTATGCATGGACATGATGGTAAAAACATTCACTTGGAATTATTTCTATCAAGGTTTTTTTTTTTTTTTTTTTTTGCTTTGAAAGCGGGGAGAAAACCGAGTTCCGGCAACTACTGCTCGCATGTGCCAGGGACGGGCGGCCAACCCCACCCCTCGACAGTTGCAATCAGCTGACAGGGGGTTCGAGAGAGCCACCCGCACCCCGCACACACGAGATTGAGGCATGCTCGATGGTCAGCAGCGCGCGAGTGGGTTCGGACCCCGACTACAAACCTTTACACCTCCACCAGTCACAAGGACTGGTGGTTCTCCCGGCAAGATATCCCGACCAGACGATCTATCAAGGTTATGAGGATGAAAAAAAAAAGAATACCAGCAAAAGGATCCATGATCAGGTTCAACTCATCTCGATAAAAAGCCACCGAAATAATAGCCATATAATAGCCAATAATAAAAACCACACTTACTGCAGTTATTTTCATCTGATTGGTCGGGGCAATCGGCATCCAGATCACAGACCCAGTTCTTCGGTATGCATGTTCCGGAATGACACCGAAACTCGCTGGAAGGGCACGTGGAAGTCGTACAGTTCTCTTCATCACTACCGTCCTTGCAATTCCATTCATTATTGCACAGCACAGCGTGACTTACGCATTCACCGGTTCGGCACAAAAAGTTGTATGCTATTGGAGAGAAGACAAGATTTTAGATGAGTTTGATATGGGAAAAACCGGAAAAGTGTAGGAGCTTAGACCCTACAAAATTAGAGAAAATAGTTGTTTATAAAAATACCCAGTTACTAAATACTTAAATTGCATAATGCTGTAACAACTTAAATTTAAAAAACACTCTACCTGTTATTGACAAAAAACTTTGGGAATTAAACTTTTTATTTCCTTTTACCATGACATGGATGCAATGTCTCGCCGGGAGAAGTACTTAAGTTTAAAAATGATTTTTTTTCTCAAACGCATTTCGGAAAGCCTAGTAAAATTGCCACAACATTAAAACCTAAAAACCACAAAAATTAATTAAATTATGAATAATTTAAAAAACCAACAAAATAAAATTATCAATATGACCACAAGCAATATTACAAGGCAAGCAAAAATGCAAATTGAAAATTCCTTAAAAATGCTGATTTTCAAACCTATAAAGTCTCCTAAAAAGTAATAACGTATACTTCCCATAGCGAAATTCGATTTTTTTTTTTTTTTTTTTTTTTTTTTTTTTTTTTTTTTTTTTTGCTTCTTATTTAGGAAAACAACTGTAAAAAATAACAAAAATTTATTGCTGCAGAATTTTGCTATGTAAATTAACTCTCATTAGAGTTCATAATTGGAATAAAAATACAGTAACCCAAACATTCAACTCACATTGATCGCAGGTGACATTTTGGCAGTTAGCCTCATCAGAGTGGTCGTGACAATCAAAATGCATGTTGCATCTATCCTTGGCATCGATACATTTTTGTCCATCAAAGCACGCAAACTGATCAGTCTCACACTGTGCTGGGCAGAAGGTCTCATCTTCGCCATAGGGGCAATCCTTGTTTCGGTCGCATTTCTTCGACATTGGAATGCATTCACCTGTCGTGCAATGGTATTCATGTGCTCCACATGCAGCAATCTCTTCACAGTCCTGACCATTATCCGCCAGCTTCATCCCATCAGGACAACTGCATACATGCTAAAAGAAAGATATCATGATTAAGCCATTCATTGGAATGATTTGGAGATGATTTTGAGAACTCTGATAGAAACTGCTTCATCAAGAAAGTAATTGTAAAATGGTTCATTGTAGTTTGCCACTGAACATCAGCGCAACATACCTTGAGTTGCTTGGTGAGAAAAATTGGGAATAACACAAATGGCAACACCTCTGAGTATGCAGAAACTCTCTTAAAATATATTTTAAAAAAAAATACCCTGTCTTTGAAACTTCGGGAATTTCAAAGGAAATTGTAGCAAAACAGACAGTTTTTTCTGCCAACATGTGTTAAAATTCAGTGTAAAACTAACCTGAATTTTTCAAAAATGACTTTTTTTTTAATTTGACTTGATATTTCTTCATAAAGTTTTTACTTCGTGATTCATTTCACTGATTAATTAGCCCCTTAATTGATGCAATACTAGTGCTCCCATTTTGCATTAAGGTGATTCGATGGATGCCATATTTCGTGTCAGAATGGCATGCGATAAATCGCATCAGTTGGTTCCATTTTTTTCAGCTACTCGTCATTTTTCTCCAAATTTTAGATCGCAATGCTGTTGACAGGAGACTAAAGCACTCACTTACCAATTTTAACAAAGAAATTCAACGTAATAAAGGCGTGGTTCTTTCAGAGAGAAAACATTGCATTCGATACTGATATCAAAACTGCACTCGAATGCGATATTTTCTCTCTGAAAAAACCACGCTTTTATTTCGTTGAATTTCTTTGTTAAAATTGGTAAGTGAGTGCTTTAGTCTCCTGACAACAGAATTGCGATCTCAAAATTCGAGAAAAATGACGAGTAGCTGAAAATATAGAACCAATTGATGCGATATATCACATGTCGTTCTGACACAAAATATGGCGTCCATCAAATCACCTTAAGAGAAACAAAAGTAACATGAAAAGTACCTTTGGATTACGACTGGTGAGGAGGCAAAAATGGCTACACTTGCCATTGTTAGTTTGGCAAGGATGATCTCTAGTAGTTTTATCAGGGATGATTGCAGTAACAAACATCCGATAGTGGTCCTTTGGTGATCGCAAAAATCGTTCCATGTTGATTTTCCTGACGGGCATGCTTGCATTGCTTTTCTCAGAGTAGTACAGGTGTGGGCGACCATCTGATGTCCAATAAAGGTCTCTATCCACATCGGTCAGAGCTAAAGGTGATGATACGTCACGGTATACTTGCCTGTCGTTTCCTGAAAATAATAAATAAAAATTGAGTTTGACTGCTTAATCTTGGTGAATCTTTTGGATGATTTTTTCTTTTTTTTTAGATGGATAAAAAATCTTTCAATTATCAAAAACATAAATAAGATTTTAAAACAAGGTAAAGTGTTTTGGATTATAGCCAGATGCTTAAGAAGTTCCCCCAAAAAATTCAGCATTCGTTTCAAAGGCAGAAGTGGGAAGAAACTTTGGCAGATACATTTTCAATGGCACATGCTTCTTCGACTGACTTTTTCATTGAATCTTCAATAAATCATTTGTGACATTTGATTCTTTAGATTTAGAGGAATTTAGCAGTTGGTAGAAATGACTCAGGATTTGATAATGAAAATATTTGAACATAACCATTCGTATCGGTGCTCTCAATGAGGCCAGCTGAGTGATCAGCCCAATAAACCCTGCGAGAATCACTGTCATAGTGCAAAGCTACATCCGGTCCTTGCAACTTGAGACTGGTCATGTGAGTCAGTGTGCTTAGTGAGCCATCCATGTTGATCCGATCAATGTGAAGGTGGTCATGGGCTTTGGCAATGACGAACATCAGGCTGAAAAAGATAAAAACAACTGATATGAAAAAACAGACAAGTTTTACAACGGTCTTAAAGAGATGAACGCACAATTAGTTCTTGTGATACTGTAACTAAAGCTGACGAGCTGAGGATATACTTCAGGTTCACTGGCCTTGGTCAATGATCAATATCTTTACGCATCATGGCTCATAGCTTCAAGTGGTCTTCATCCCAAAAACTGACGGTCAAAAAATGAGTCAGACTTCCTACCTATACAGGAGTCTTGGTGCATATCATGATCAATAACAGAAAGTGAACATACCCTTCTTCTGGTATGAGAGTCATGGCGAAAGGTTTTTCATCGTCAAATTCCCGGAGCAACAACTTCCTTCTGTGAGAGAAGAAACTGAACACTTCTACAGTGCCGGCCTCTTTGTCGCACCAATAGAGATTCCGGCCAATGGGATCGTAAGCCAATGCTGAGACATAGCCCACTTTGAGATCAATTAGAGTCTCCATGGTGTCCGTGTTCAGTTGATACGAGTAAATCATTTTGGCATCTGGGTCAGCTATTAATAGAGAGCCTGAAAATTAAAAATTAAAATATATGATTAAAGTGCAGAATAAAAGCATTGAAAAGAGATGTTATTAGGAATGTTGCTCATATTCAATGAAAAATATGGAAGTAGGCTACTATGAATATGTAATGTAATTATTTTTTTGGTAGGAAATTAATTTTTATCCATCAAAACATTCTTACTCTATGGCAGGTAACTTTTTATGATATTATTTCGATGAAGTTCTGACCAAAGTCAAAATAAACATGTTCTTAATGATTCTGATAAATGTTTTCTATTAGCTCATGCATTAATTTCAATGGACCACTAGGCAAGGTTCAGATTTCAGCATTCTCATATATGGTTTTCTCTTCACAATTTCACGTAGAAAACTATTTGCACAAAGAAAATTACTGAAAATACGTTCTAACCAATATATTAACGTTTTTTCAGCACTGGTTCCGAAAAATTTGAATTTTCGGCTCAGATGGAAAACCAGAGTCTGTGTGAATCAAATCGCACACTACGACAGCTTTGGCAGGCCTCTTAATTCAGCAGTGTCCCTCACCTTTCCTGTGTTGTTCAAAATGTAAACAACTTGCAACAGCTGAGCCAAACTGCTGAGATTGTAAATGCCATATTTGTACACCTCAGAGACTGTTACAGTAACGTTTAGTGTACAATTCAACCCAAGTATATTACAGTTTATGAGCAAGAGGCTTGAATTTGTAAATAAAAAATATTAATACCTTGATTAACAGTTACTTTCAATAATTACTGTTGCACAGATCGTGTTTTATGTGAAATTTTGATGTGAAAATATTTACAACAATACTTAAATTTGCACCTTGTCTAGTGGTTCATTATCACATTTATAACAGAGAAATATCATTTCATTCGTAAAATAATTTTTGTTATGCTCCAAAATCTCCAGATTCTTTAGGTTCAGTAAGAATCGAACTTAGTCCTGACTTCAGTATTGTTAGAGAGAAATACATGGAAGTATTGAAACAGAGGACTAACCATCAAAGGAGTTGTAGACGATTGCACTGACAGACTGGAGGTTATTAACAGGCAGCGGATGAATGTACTGCTTCCCAAGAGTCACTTTCAGCTGGAAAACAAAGTTTCCAATGCTAACAATGACAGATTCTTTGGGCTGTTCTTGGCACCATTCTCCAGAGGGGGATAAGATTTTATTGTCAGGGCACAAGCAAGAGTAGCCTTTGCCTCCGCTTGAAGCTGATGGAGATAGAGCACAGATGTCACTGCACTTCCCGGCGCACGGATTTGGTAGCTGAAAATAATTACAAAAAATTTGATCTTATTTAGTTTTCATTTCAAAGAGGAGCAGTTAAGGCGCTGAGTTTAGTAAGTGCTCCTTTTTCAAAATATTCATCAAGTGCTATTTGCTCATTTGTATCTTTTGAGTATGATAAATTTACAAAGTCCTCATAGATCTTCGATTGATTTTTCTAGCTTCCTTGATCACTCATATTGGAGCTTTTAGCATTACATTTGAGATGAAATTTGTGTAAAATACCTAGACAGAAATAAATTACAACGAAATATTTTTTTTGGTGACACTTTGATATTAATAATTATTCAAATCCAGATGGAAAAAAGGCTACCTACGCAAAATTTCTTATGGTAGAAGAGTTGATAAAAAATTCATATTTGACATTTTCTTCAACTTCTTTATTGACAGATGACTTTCTTATCTGAGGCAAGTGGTGACGAGGAGAATTCTTATCTGGTAAGTTAGTAGATTTTTAAAAATAGAATCTGTCTCTTTGTCACTATCATCAAATAATTTAGGTTCTAATTCCTTGATGCTTGACGTGGTTTACTTGTAGTTGCCTTGATAATGATTGTAGAGATTGAAAAGCTTCGGCTATGAGTTAATAAACGTATTTCACAACACCATGGCATTGTGTTTTCACAAACAAATTCCTACAAATATCTCCAACTAGCAATTTTCCTTGAAGTTGTGAGAAAGTTATTTAAATTATGTTAGTTTCTATAACCTTTTATTTCACAAGCTATGATGTAAAATGCAAGGCAACAACAACAGCAAAAATTATGACAGAAATTATTCAGAGAAAAATTTTACTCACCGAATGATTTTGCAAAGTTGGGTGAAAAATGTGCACACCGTAAATTTTGTCTTTCCGACTTTTGACAACTTGTACTCGGTTTTTCCCGGTGAACTTATTACATTCTACTATTTCTTGGTTTGTCCATCCACTCCAATAGATTTTATCTTCAAAAACAGCGATTGCGAAAGGATGATCATTGAGATCAGTTAATATTTTCTGTGAAAAAAGTAAAATTGTTAGAATTTTAAGCACAACCATAGAAGTACTATCATCAAACATCATTGCAAATCATTTGTATTTTAAAGGACAATTAAGGTGCATCATGGAATGGACATCAAGTTCGAAACTAATTAAATGTACTTTCTTTTCTCGCTAATAGCGTCAACTATCTGTTGAGAGAAATCACCAAAAAACTAGATTTTTTCAGAGAAATGAACATATGAAGAACTTCCAGTATAAAGGAAGTGGAAATTGTATGGTGGTGGTGTTGCAGAGTATTTCATCCATACAACAATGAAACAAATATTTTTCTTCAAAACTTAAGCGCCAAAATCTAAATCTCAAGAAAAATGGAAAAAAAGGTGCCATTCGGCATGCTTTCTGTCTTTTAAGCCCACTTCAAATAGATATTCTTCAGACACATACATTTTTTGGGCTTTTAGAGTATTTTTTTTATCTTTTGCTGCAAAAGGAACATAAATAAACAAAGTCTTACCCGCCGATCACGGCCTTGAAAATCAACAGTTTCAACAGTTCCGAGTCTCGCATCGACCCAATATACTCTCCGATTTCCGTGATCAATTGTGAGACCATTGGGCCAATGGAGCTCTGTCGTTACAAACTCATAGAAGTCTGTGCCATCCATTCCAGAACGGGCGATGAGTGGTTTAAAGCCCCAATCAGACCAGTACATGACCGCATCAGCTGGGTTTAAAACAATTGCGCGGGGCTTGTTCAGGTCTTTGTTGTGGAGGACAGCGCATTTCGTTTCAACCAGCTCTTCGTTGTAGGTGCAAATGCCGATCTGTTGGTACTCGCCATCAGTGAAGTAGATGTTACCAGTCACCCAGTCGACAGCTAGGTCTTCAGGGGAGCCAACACCTAAACCAATATACATAATTATCAGGATACTAGATTTTGTGGGACCAGTAAAGAGTACAAAAGATTGTAGGTGCCATAACAAGACAGCAACATAATCAGAGTCAAAGTAACAATTCAGTTAAAAGCTATTTCTGATGATTATATACTGATCATTAATTTCATGACTGGATGTTTGCTGATGAGACTCTGTACAAGTTCTTAAGGGAGGAAGTGGAGGTCTGAGCACATATAACAGGGGGAGGGAGGACCAAGCACTGCGCAATGTCATGCTTGAATATTGTTCTTTCAATTTCCTTTTGATTTCCATTTGTGACTAACTGTAAAACTGGATTCAAACTTAACTGTGATACTGCATGAAACAATATTTTTTGTTTTGTTTCCTGGGCATTCCATTTTTTTGGAGGTATTGATTTTTATTCCTTCAACATTTAACTTTTTCAATTTGATATAGAATAGCACGATGTCATTTTTTGGAGAAGGATCTAGACCTATTTGATGGGTGTCCAATGAGAGGACGATGGGGGTAGTGGTGTTAAACAACCAAATTTTGAGAAAAACGAAGTTCATGGAGCTTCTTTGGTTATGTTTCACATCAATTTTGTTCCATGAGGAGATAATCTTTCTGCTTGAAACTTCACACTAAGGAGTAAATCTAAAAAAGGATCAGGTTTCCGAATGTGAATTGGACGTATTTCTGTCAAACGGAACTAAGCGCCATTGGGTGAGGCAGGTAGAGGGGGGCTTGGATTGGCGGGGGAACCAGGCGTTGGGCTCATTCCGTCCTATACTCGCAATGCTTTTCCATGGCGCTTAGTTCCGTTTGATAGAACGCGCTATCCGGCATTCTAAATTCCTCAAAAGAAACTCAAATTTGCGCTTGGTTCCGTTTGACAGAAATACGTCCAATTCAAAGTAGCAATTAACAAAAGAAACTACCTGAATCAACAATGGTGGTTTCATGAGATCCATCCTCACTTGCCCGAACAATAGATTCAACTCCATCAAGCACGGTCGTCCAATAGACATGTTTACCATCAAAAGACACACCTGTCGCATATGGAACCTCAGAGGCAACTGTCATTGATATGCGAGATGTCAGATATAGAGACTTAATCTTTTTGAGGCTTGAATAGATCAGAAGTCCTTCACCCTCTGAAAAAGACGAACATCATGTAAAGTTTGAAGAACTCAACTGAGGCAGGCATCATCAAATAAAGAAATAAAGAAGGAGCATTTCACAACAGGCTGGTTCAGGAAAACACTCTCAGAGGCACTAAATCTGAGAAATTACTGGAAAAAAAGATGTAAGAAACTGAAGTAAGCATAACAGTCAACAGAAAAATGGATTTTGCAACATAAAATGTTATTAAAAAAAGAAATTGGTCCCAAAAACAGCAGAATGTGAAGTTTCATGAAAATTCAATCAAATTTTCCAAATGTCTGCAAACTAATGAAACCTCGATAAAAATCCTCCGATAAAATTAGAAAATCAGTAAAAATTTGAGGAAGTTTTTTGTTCACATGAGGACAATTATAATGCATAGCAATTGCAGTTTCAAAGGTGGACACTATTTTTCCTGGGCAAAATCTTTTTTCATGATGTACTGAAATAACTTGCATGTTTGGATCTTGTTCTGCAAAAACACATACGTAAAAATTGACATGACTATGAGCCAAGTTTCTTGCTTCAGACCCTTCATAATTGATGGGAACGCTTTTATGGGAAAGCAACAATGATATAGCCCACTTATATGCCCCTGAAACCCGCACTCTGATTTGAGCATTAGGGAATTGTTGCCCTTGCGTTGTTGATTGTCCTTGCAAAATGAAAATATATTAAAAAAGATAGCTTAACCAAACTTTGGGTAAAATAAATCTGGTATCATGTCACCTCTAAGCATCTTCAAAGAAAATGCACTTACCTTCTGCTTTGCATGTGCGTCCGTTACTTTCCAGTTTGTATCCAGGTTCACATTCACAGATGTAACCTCCGACCGTGTTTTCACACATTTGGTCACATGTTCCCCATTCCAAGCACTCATTAATATCTATGAAATAACATGGTATAATTCAGTGAAATTAAATTACATGTAGACTCATATGCATGCTGGCTTATTCCTTAGAAATAGATAAAATGACAGCACTACTAACTTTTAAACATTGAAGGGATTTAGAAGGTTTTAGTCTCAAAGTTAACATTTCTCAAATTGAACCTATTTAAAAACTGGCCACTTCAATACGTTTAAGAAATCGAGCACTTACATGAGACTGTGCAATCTGTGGAATAATACAAGCCATACTGAGAGCTTTAAAATCTTATAGCTTTGTCATCCTTTCAAGACTTTCTTTTGAATTTTGGCTAGTGAACAGTGACCAATAAGTTATCTTTAGAGAAGAATCGGTTTTGTAATTATTCATTTTTCCCAGAGATAAAAAGGAGAAAGCACTAAGTACCAAAAACGTATAGCTGAATTTCAACATGAATCTTCGATAAGATTGGTAAAAACGAAAAAACTGCCACCTCGGCATGGTGAGAATGTAAAAATGCCCAATTTCCAGCCATCAAAGATAATACTTTTACCTCAACTTCAGCTTTTACACAGCTTCAGCTTTTTACAACGATAAGAGAGAGGTGAATTAGTGCTTTAATTGCTAAAAGATGGACTGATAAGACAAAAATAAAAAAACACAAACCTTCACAGACGTTTCCTTCAAGGTGATATCCTGATCCACAGACGCAAACTGGTCCATCTGGGCTTTCAACACACGAGTGGGTACAGTTTAGCTTTGCACAGTCAGTAGCTACTTGAGCTGAGAACAGGGTAAGAAAGTATTAAAAGAGGAAAAAGATGAAATCAACACCATAACTTCGATACTCCTTTGAAGATAATTTCAGACATGTCTAAGTTATTCTGAATATTTCTGTTCTAACTCTACATCGTGCTGCTACATGGCTTGAGTCTTTAAGAAGAAATAATTATCATAATGTCAAGTTTGTGCAAAAGCCTAATCCAATACAAGGAGCAACATTAAAACATCAATTTTGAGAAGATTCGTCAAAAATTTATATCAGAAACTACTATAATGGATGTTGCTGATTGACTCAATGTGTAAGAGGGAGTTTATATGCCGCTATCTCTCCCTTGCACATTAAACCATTCAGTGATGTCCCTTATTATAGTTTCTTGTATAAATTTTCAATTAATCCTTACAAGTATAATGCCATACTGCTCATAATTGAAGTCACTACATGCTATGGATCAGTTTCTTGCATTAATTTGTGCATTATGATGATCAATGCTTCTTCAAGACCGTACAGCAATACAATGTAGAGGTGGATCTCCTCGTTAAATTATTGAGCATCATTTCAAGTGTGCAAAGGCAATATTTTTCAAGATGCTGAGTATAGATTAAGGCTGTTTTCGAGCCTACCCCAGCTGAATTTCCTGTACGCTAAATTTTTTTACAAATTGAAGGCTTACATTGTACAGCCTGTATCATAGGTAATTGGGTCATTTCCAGTCTCTCTTTGGGTTTAATGATGGCCTTGATATGGGTCTGGGGGCAAATTGGCGAAGTATAAGGATTAATCGGTATTCGACCGCAAACCTGCAAAACCCCCATATTTTGCGAAAATTGGCCTTCAGATCCATATTTAGGCCAGTTTTAAACCCAAGAAGAGATAAAAAATTACTAATCATGATGAGTCTGGTTTAATACAGCAACCTCCAATGAGCAAAAAATTGTAGAGTTGAGGAAATTCAGGGCGGGCCCAAAACAGCCCTCATCAATACTCTGCCTCTGTTAGGATATAACAAATAATAAGTTCCTAAATTAGACCATTTAGTGATTTTTTGATTAGGATAAATGGAAATGATCCTTCCTTACCTTTCGAAGCACAGTGACCACCCTCATCTGACCCATCTTTACAGTCAGGGTGCCCGTTGCACAGAAGAGAATCATCGATGCACTGATTCCTATTTTTGCAGAGAAATTTTCCAAACGCTGAAGTGCACTCTGTAAAATTATTCTTGCCTGCTGGAGAAAAAAAGGTGATAAACTAAGTGCTGTAAACGTAAAAATATGACGTGTAAAATCTCCTTAATTTTTTGCTCCTCCACACAGACATGGTCGTTTTTTAAAATTTGGATTTTTCAAGCTGACAAGAATCTGCTCTTTGAACAAATTACTTTCTGACATCCTTGGAATCCTGAAATTAAAAGGCATGTAGAGTTTTTTTGCAATTTAAAGGAACACTAAGCTACAGTTTTTACTGAAATTTTTGGTGAATTTTCTTCACTCCTTCGAAAAAATCACACATAACTGCAAAGTAACATCTTGATTAATTTCTCTTGAGGAAAATGAAACAAATTTGGAGTTTTTTTAACATTGCAATTGAGATCTTTTACATTTATCATTGATATGAAACTCCACACAATAAATAAAATGATAGTGACACAGCAATGCAAAAATTGAAAAATAAAAAAAAAATGAAAACTAATTATTCTCGGCCTATGGCCAATTAGTCATTCATTAGCACTATAACGTATGGCGGTGATGTGTCTCGCAACCTTCAAGGATTGAAATACAGTAGTGAAAGGTGAAAAAATTGAACATAGTTAAAAAGGAATGATGTAACTTACTACAGTCGTCTTCATCTGAATTGTCACCACAATCATCATCCCCATCACAGATATAATCATTCGGGATACAGCGATGGTTATGAGGGCACTCCCACTCAGACGCTGCGCAATGGCTCTGCAAAAACCAAGTTGCAAATTATTTGCTAGAAATATTTTTACAAGATAAGACAGTTAGAGCTTTCAAATGGTGTGGTAAGGAAATTTGTCAAAATGATTCCAGATACACAGTTAAAAATGATTGGCGGAACATGGTGCAGAAATAGAAATATACAAAAGAAAGATATTGACAGCTAAAGTGCAAAACCATGTGCCCACATTTAGGACATTGCAGACTTGCTGTCATACTTTATTTTTTCTTTGGAGAACTATCCATTGTAATTTCTTGAAAAGTTCTTGAATTATACTTCTCCAATAGCAGAATCTTCAGCATAAATTTCAAGCTATGCGATTGGCTTGTCTCTCTCCAAAAAATAAAATAGGAATAGAAATTTTGAAACATCGCAACAGGGATATGTGGTTTTGCACTTCGACCATTGACACGTCAAAGTATGAATGGATACTCCTTTGGTCCCATTTAAAGAAATGTTTGAAATGACAACAGTAGGTACAAGTTTAAGAATATTCTCTGAGGTGCTGTTTGTGGAGTACATGCTGTTAGTTTGTTTTTATTTCATTATTTATTTTTTTTTTACTACACCTTTCCCTTGTACCTCAGGCATCCAGAAAAGGAACTCAAAAAACAAATATTGTAACAAATTAACAAATATGACAAATTATGTAAGGCTGAATTAGCTTCCTCCCTTTAGAGGAGGAAAAAATTAGAGAGGGTAGAACAAGAAAAGGATGATAGGAGTATTTGTTGAACTCATCAACTTCTCTGTTTTCTTTAACATTTTTTTTTTTTTAAAAAAAACCAAGATCTTGTTTTTAAAAGGTCACAAGAACATTGAAAGTCCAATATGGCATAAAAGATTCACACGAAATCATAGCTGAACAGCTGATAGCTTGGTTCACATTACAGATGGCAAAACCACCAGACCATGTAGGTGGGTATCTTGATTATGATGTTTAAAAACTTCTGCTCCCATTTTATTTGTTGAAGAACATATCAACATCATTCCTTGAGGTTTTCACAGGATTTTTTGGCAAAGAGGAGAAAAATCACCGGAGTTCTCAAGAACTGACGTGGAGTAAATTTTCCAATTAAAATATAAAGTATGGCAGGAAGTCTGCAACGTTGCAAACCGAGATAGGTTGTCTGGTAGTTTCACTGTCAATATACTGTATTCAACACTTCTTTGAGAAGAGAGTGAGAAATCAGAAAAAAAAGAACACAGAAATCATACTTACTTCAGCGCAGCCTGCAGCTCCTTCATCTTTACCGTCCTCACAATCTGCATTCCCATCACAAACCCAGGACCGTGGTATACATTGGCCCTGACCGCAATCAAACTGGGTACTAGCACAGGTTTCATTTTTTGATTTATCCTAGAAAAATCCAAAAAGGAAAGTTGCTAAGGGAAGAACTTACTTCCAATTCTAAGAAAAAAAAGGAGAAGCTGAGAATATCATTCTCCAGTAGAAAAATTAAAAAAATTAACGTCGCAAAAGTTAAAGCTCAGGTGCAGAAAAGGCGCCTCTTGAGATGTCTTAGAATCTCCCCTGACGTTTTATTCATTATGATCAAAGCAAATCAATGTACTTCTTGAAACTTTTACTAGATATTCTTCATGGATTTTCCTTTGAACGAAGAATTTCCAAAAATTTGCCTAGCAGTTTCCTCTGTAAATATAATTTAGCAGAGGAGTCTTGTTAACATTTTCCCTATTTTTTTCAGCCCATATATTGGTTTTTTTTCTTTCTACGAACAGTCAATTTTAATCCAAATCAGTTCAAAAGCCCCTTTCTCGTATGTTCACCCCTTAATCTCCCTCTTTATCAGTTAAGTATGACTGCTTGATCGTCAAGATTAGGGACAACCGAGGTCCCATTGACCAATGAGAGTCAAGTGATTACTCTACAGACATCTGATGTAAGCTCTGTCATATAAAGGCAAGCAAGCCTAAAATCTAGGTCTTTTTCCAATATCCAGATCTGTGGCTTATGTCACTCGTTCTTAGGTCTTTTTCCCCTATTCAGGCCTGTGTGCCTCATGTCAAATCCAATAAGTGTTTAAATTAAATTTTGTATTTTCACTTGTGTTTCTGCATCGCGATCTCTGGAATAATTCTCTTGATCTTTTGGTTGGATTTTGTACATTTCTTGTGAATTTTGTGAGCTCATACGTACTTTCTCCCGTTTCCAAAATAAACAGTGATCATCTGATCGAAACTTTGAGTCGGCAAAATTATTTCACTTGTAAACTCAAAATCTTGCTTTCTGGTTGATATTTAAAACATATTAATAATGTAGTGTGGAAACCATATTATTTTGACTCTCAACTGCTAACATGGTCCCGAAACCATATTTTATTTGGTATCTTAACTAATAACAAGTCTTGTAGTTTGTAGCTAAGAACATTTTCAGGTGCCAGCTGGACAAATTGATAACGTTAAGTAAATGGCTTGTGTCAATCAAGAAATGGTGATACTTACCACATTACAACCGTGTTCATCGGATCCATCATTACAATCGTCATCTCCGTCGCACCTTAAATCCATGGATATACACCTGTGATTTGTACATTCGAAATGGGATGGTCCGACACATTCATCTGGAATGATGAATGAATGATTCATTTCATAGTAGTTAATAATTATAATTGATTAGCAGTAGACTCCTTCCAAGAACAGTATAGAAAAGATCTGAGGCCATTAATTCCATCTTTCACTTCTCTAGTGGAATTCTAGACATAGGAGATTTGCAGCCTCAAGGAAAGGTCAGAGGGATTGGCTGTGGTTCCGTTTCTGAGGCTTGATAAATCAAAGCGAAATGTTCCCTTCGACGTAATTGACGAATATAATAAAATTCAAAATTTTTGAAGCAAACGTTTAGTTCCCTTCTTCTCTTCATGCGTAGTATTCTATGGTTGTACGTATTATATTACAGAAAATTAAGCTCTTTATCTACATTGGCGCTGGGAGGGTTTTTTTTTGCCAACCTCAGGAAACACTTATGTAATTAATTTCTTCCCTTTTTCTATATGATATGCTTACACTTGCCATGCGAGCTAAGCTCTAGGCAAGTGTACAAGTGTAATTGTTTCTTTCTATCGTTTCGTTATCATCTGTGTGTAAATAAATAAATAGATGAATACTTATCCTAGTAAAGGTGAATCAACCTGGCATCAGGCTATGTTTCATAAACTACCCTGAGTCTGACTGATTCAAGCTGATAATAAGCCTAAATCAGTCTGGCTCAGGGAGTTTATGAAACATAGCCTGACACCAGGCTGATTCACTTTTACAAGGGTAAATAGATGAATGAATTAATAAATAAATAAAAATAAAGTACAACAACAAACAAATTTTACAAGGAAAAACACTGCTAGATGCAAAATTTCGTGAGGCAGGTTTAACAGTAACCGCTACAACTTACAGACAAAACCTTAGAAAAGAAACATCATTTCCCCCAAACTGAAGATAAAATGAGGGTCGCAGAAGAATCGCACAATCACAAACCTATTGAGAGGTGGCTGTAAAATAACAGAAAAAGAAAGAAGTACAGGTAATGACAGAAAAGGAACTTACATGATGAAGATGATTGTACAAATGTGCAAAAGACTGCGATAACTACTAATAATGCTGTGCACCATGAGCCCTTGGATATGGAGCTCCATTCCCTCTGAATCATTATAAAATCTGCAACAAAAGTAGTGGGACGACATTTTAAAAAAATGATTCAACGACTAAAAGTCGTAAAATTGCAATGTGAAATCGAACTTAATTAGGTACCGTACTTGAGCGGAATAAAAACAAGATTTTTCCCAAAATAAAATCTTTGATCAACGCAGCAAAAATTTGAAAACTAACCACGTGCTTTCGTGTTTTGTTTACGTTTTCTCGGGTGTTACGCGTGCTACCTTGTGACAAAATCTTGAACTACTTGCCCCTCTCTCCCAAAAGTCGCCACCCTGTCTAGCGGCTGGCTAGCCGAACCATCATTCCTTTTGTCCACGCCGCCTTTCGGCGGAATTTGGAGGAATTCGGAGAAGCAAGCGCCTGGCGCTTAGATTCCTTTCCATTGTTTCCTTCTTCTTCCTCTCCTGACCCATTTCTCGGAATAGACGGCGGGCCACCCACGCTTATCCTCCGGAATTCGTGTGGTTAGTCATTTTGTCTTCCCCTTGTCCGATTCTGACGATTGAAACGTCAATCATGTGTGATTTTCGACGAGGAATCCGAATCTAAGGTCAGATTTTGGGTAGCTGTAAATATATGTATCTCAAAAGCAATATTTGGCATTTGAAAAATTTGATTTAAATAAAAGTCATGGCGCGCGCTTGAAAACTAATTAACTTTTTATTCGTTCATTCCTATGTAGTCACAAATATTAAGCGCTTGTATTTTTTTCGAAATTTTAAGAAATGGTACCCCAGTGGCAAACACAGCTAAAATTTTAAAAACGGGTAGAAATGAAAAAAACCTTTAAACAAAACCGGTAAACCAGTAGAGTTTAAGAAGAAAAACTCTTTTTGGGTATCTATTCAGGGTAACGCAAGGGGGGGGGGCGATTGTCTTCAGATAGCTTAGGGGCCGTCCATAAATTACGCACGGCTCTTAGAATGAGAGGGGGGGG